ATGAAAACATGACAAAATGGCGGTACAATAACAATAATTAATTAGCAGTTTGTTAATTATTCAAGAGTGAAGCAATGAACGTTGATTAGTAATGTCCGCTTCTCATGTAGCCGTCGAAATTAATAATGATTGGTGTGTAAACTGGAATTAATTGAATGGCCATCCATACGACATATAGTTGATCCTACACTTTACCATTGACAAAAAGATTGAGTTTATTGGCGAGCGACTAGTAAAATTCTGCGAGAAAATACAGCCCTGCATAAAGTTAAGATGGCTAGTGTAGGTAACTTGTTGTTACTTGCTTTTAAACCGACGTGCGGGACACCGTTCGTCATCGTTGGGCGCATTACAAGTTTCCAAGGGATGATGAACCTTCTTGAACGTGTAGATTTCATCTCGATATTTTCCTTCACTGTTAGCGAGAGACATACCTTCTAAATTACAAGGTAATTCAATCTATTAGGAACCAACATTCACGTACGCGAAGTGCTCGCCCAATTTCTTACATTTCTCGTTTCGATGGCGGATTGATTAGCGTGTAATCTCACGGTAGCGTGCTCGTAACGTTCCTTTTCTATTAGGAAATATGCAGGGACAGAGGACGGCTCATTTCTGAGTACTCTCGTCACTTACACCGGATCGTTCGGCTCCTCTGGTGAATCAATTGTGGTCGGTGCCCCCGCCGCCGGCAGATTGCTATCAGGCACGCGATCCCGATCACCCGCCCTACGCACGCGACGTCGAAACGACACAAAAGAATTTCTCGCCAACTTCGATGTCGACACCGACGAATTGAACGTGATTGTGTTTAGGGCGCTCTACATTTGAAACTCGAACGTCAATATCGGTACGGCTGGCGGCTATAAAGTTTGTAACGTTAATAATTTTTAATTCGGGGCCGTCATGCTTGATGATCGTCATTTGTTCTTGTGTTCGCAACTCTAATGATGGAAAATTATTCGCCACGTTATCACGTGCAGGAATGTTTTATTTGCCACCGACGTTACGAAGCTGCAAAGTTTAACACCTAATTTCAGTCCAGTGCCGGTTCATGCAACTATTTCTTTTGCATCTAATTAACAATTCTAATGTGGTTGTTTTTTTGTGTAAGCCGCAACACTTTCGAGCGGCCGTGACGTCCGCTGCCGGCAGCGGCGCGAATGCAAATGACCATCGATTTAGCGAGTGACGTATGGTGTGCGCGATTCTCGCCCCTTTCTTTCGCAACTACCCGCCTTGATTAACAAGTCGAATACGTGAATACGTTCCCCTTTCCTATTCGATACACGTAAATTGTGGAGCAATTTTTTAACTATGTCACAGTGACACGATAATTCCACCCCCTTACTTTCCAAAAGCTTTGAATATTCATAGGGCAAGAGCAATCAATAACGTGCCACAAAGAAATAGTTTTTGCGTGCGTGCACGCGATATTATATCGTATAAACAAATAATTTTCCATATTTTTTATTGTTATTCGGCAAATTATTGCTGAAGAATGACCCCCTTCGGTCAATAGGTAGATAAAATTTTAACATTTCCGTGACTGCCAGGCGTTACTCGAGTTTTTTCGAAGTATCCGTCAAAAATGCACTTCGAAATAGGAACAATAAAATGCGATCATATCGGGCTATTTTATAGTTTTGAAGATAAGAGCCTAAACTAAACTAAATTAATAGTCAAACCAAACATCTACATACTGCGTGATTTGACGCCTAACTGCGCCTATCCAGTTCTCTTTAACAATAACGCCATAGAAATAATTTAATTCATATCCATGCCAGCCCAGATCTCTTAACCTGGTTTATAAAAGGACCCCCCATAGGGAGAAACCTTAATCCTAACAAAAAATTGAATATAAATTATATAAACCAGATAAGATACTTTTAATTTAGTCTTTAGTAAGTACACTAACTCTATTTAACAGAAATTTTTAAAGTATAATAGTATGCGCAGGATTAAGTGGAGGATTAAAAATGGCACTGATTTATTAAAAGCTTCGAGAAAAAGGTATACAACCGGAAATGCACCACTTTGCACACGTCTATAACTCTACCAGCGTGAACAATGTCTGCTTAAAATTTCAACATATTGTTATTTACTTCAAATCACGAAATAAGAAACTAACACTCCTTTCTTCACCTAAATCACCTGTCCACACGACCAACGCCAATCAAGTCAGACCGTGGGTATGTCCCTTAAACAACCACCATGTTGACAACTTCGACGCTTCACAAAATGGCGTCACAAACAATGGAAGTTCGTTTTGACTAAATTAAAATTAAAAACTGGCGCTTATACCAGTGCCTTTCAACTATCATACATTGCCAGTCTGAATTTAAACGAAAATTTTGTCTGTCAACTAATTGTGATCCTGCACCAAAACAAAATCATTGATTGAAACCACATGTTGAACTTTAATATTAACGTGAAAAGCACGTATGACATACAAATGTTCCTTGACCACAAATTCAGATTAACAAAAGGGCACGATGCAAATTACAATACAACGCCTATGCCACGTCGAAGCATCAACATCTCTTAGATTGCTACTGCAACTTAAAATCTCAACATATAAGTACATTCCGAGCAATGTTTCCATCAAGCATCACTGAGCCCTATCTCTACATAACATCATTATTTTTTTCCACTCACGTACATGTAATTGTCCTTACAACGTGTGGAATAGCAAATCGCAGCCAGATCAAAGAGATTTTGCCTAACGTTATGGAAATTTATGTGTTTTATCGAAGTATCGGATGAATTCGTAATATTCTAATTGATTATTGCTGACGACTTCTGTTTGGACTACCAATGAGGTGAATAACGGATAACTTATACTAAAAATAGGTGTCTCATTTTTTGTACCTACGCCATTTACAAAACATGATTTGACAATTAGGTAAAAATGTGGAAAACCTCTCTATCCATCATGCTCTATGACACTTTGGCAGTTGAATGTCGCATAGATGCAAGTAACTGCCAAAAATATATGATAAAAAACAAAGTGAACATTAAATCCATTACAATGCGAACGTAGTGATTATTAAACCAAACCACGCATATATAGTTATTGTCTCGAAATTTGAGAGCATTATGACTTTAGATATTAATCTCTAAACCATGTCGGCCATGTTTTAAAAATTTACATCACGTTTTCTTAGTCATATCATAAGTCGTTAACTCTTGAATGGTGGTTTTGAAATATCTATAGAAGGACATGGTATAATGTACTTTGCATACTTTATTTATTTTTGTAAAGTAGAACGTGAGAAAAAATGAGGGCATTCAATACATTTGTCTCATTGAAACTCGGTGAAAGTCTCAAAATGTCATATCATAATCACTATTATGGTATAATTTAGACAAACGCGGAAGTTATTTGGCTTAGTCTTTTTTTACAGCTATAAAAAATTATACACCGCGATTTATATCGTGCTTAAAATATTTCGTAGTAATTTACATTGTCTGCATCGAAACATGCTTGATTCTTCGTCATCGCTTACAGTTAACATAAAAGTTATAAATAGGGGTGGATAAATAAATAAATCAGCCTCCTTTTTTATAGATATTTCCCGCGTAAATTAAACAAAATACTCGATTCTTAATTCGTTTCCATTTCCCGATAAAATTTACTTTACGCACCAATAAAACTGCTGAAAGAAAAACAACATCATTGCAACGCATTATGCGTTTTATAACCAATTTATCAAGGTTTAACTTGCCTTAATTCGCCACTGAATCTAAAGTAAATTAAACAGGAACATATTGTCGGTTTTAAAATAAAATTTAAGAATGTAATTAAGCCTTTGTGATCCTTGAAAATTAATGTAACTCGCACGTTCCTTTCTTGGACTCGTTAAACACCGCAATATAAATAAGGTATCAGTTTTCGTAAAAACTTAACGGATGTCTCGAGTTTTAACAAAATTTTGTTTACTCTTGTAACAAAAAATACTTGCAAAAGTTTTGAAAGGCAACTTCAAATGGCTTTTCTTGGATATTTTGATACATGTTTAAGCACATTCGTGTATTTAAAAACATGAAGGCAAAAAATTAACGACAAAATTCAATGTCGAATGAAAACTAAACACTCATTATCTAACTCCTGCTAATCATTATCTTCAAAAGATAAATTGATTTATTACTTAAACTGAAAAATGTCGCTTCCTAGAAATATTTAACAAATAACATCGCCATGTCTTTTGTGTCACGACATTGATCAATTTTCCTTATGTCTTGGAATTATAGAATAACCTTCATTTTACGATTGTTTTGTTTTTTATTTTAAAGATCTTTAGCACGATCTTTATGAATGAATCTTACTTTACATATCTTTCCCGAGATCCTACTTATAACTGATGGCCGCAGTAAACCAGGGGTATTTGAACCCGACTAATCCTATACGCATTTCAACAAACGTCTAAAACTAATTACCCGTCTTAATTAGACTAATGCTATCATACATTAGCGCCTAAACAGTGTCGTTCTATTGTGGATTCAGAGACAATATGTTGACAGGATGAATGGCCACAGTATGGCGAGCAGTTTTCGCGCGTAACTTTACTTGTTTATGGCAGCGCGCGCGCCGTTTTAGGATTACTGGCTAAGCCGATGAGTGCCCGTCCCCATTCAGCGATTATCGCGATATCTCCGCCTATTTTCATTGCACCGTCTTAATGACTCGCCTAATTTCAATTGTACCAAATATAACTCCCGTATTTATTACTTGGCAAGAGTTTAAACTAGTATATGAATCGTCGCTGCTACTGTGTAGGTATGTGTGTAACACTTTGAGGCAATTAAAGCGCTTGCGGAGATCAAAATTTGATATGAGGCAAATGCAACTTGTCAGACGGCGTGAATAAGATATATGACACTCTGACAATGTAGGCGTAACTCAGACACTTCCTAGTTTTTCTTTCAATGAATGGTTTAACAACGATTATCTTTACAATCACTAAACTTTACTAAGAAATACAAAACTATGTTTACAGTGGGATCCAAGGATGGCAATATGGGTCCCGGCTTCGGGCGACCAGACGGCGATGGTGACGAGCGTTTGACGCACATCCTTAGCGAGGCATCGCACTTGATGAAGACGCCTACTGGACAGGTTCACAACGATGATTCTAGAAGCAACGAAGACTCGAGTTCTCCTCGCACACAGTGCCCATCACCTTTCTCCAACAAGGTAAACATTTTACCTGGACCAAAAGAACCGTCTAAACTTTGGTACTACTGTACCTTTATTGCTTTGAATTCTATTAACTGCGTTAGCAACCATCATTCATTTGAGACCTTTAAAATAAAAATATTTATTTTTATTTTTTTTAAATATTTGCAGCCAAATTCAAAATAATTTATTTAAACGTTATTATATTTTTTTTTCAGGATTCGAGTCAGAACAGAAGGCTGAAGAAATACGAAAACGATGACATTCCCCAAGAGAAAGTGGTCCGCATATATCAGGAAGAACTGGCCAAGATAATGACCAGGAGAGTCGAGGACATGCGCCACAATCGCGATGGCTTCCCTGGGTAAGCTTCCATATACTTACATACCTATTTCAAGTAATACAATTCCATCGAAATTTGTATTAGTTAATATATTGAACTATTATTACAAAAGTAATAACTTAAACGAGGACAGCAAATCTAAAACTAAAATGCAGCATGTTTCCTCCATTTTTCAGCGGCGGCATGCCACCACACATGGAGCGACCCCCAGAAGATATCCGGATGGCGCTCGAAGCTTATCATAGAGAACTAGCCAAAATTCAACCTGGTGGAAACATTCCCAATCTGCACAACTTGCCAGGAATGCCACCGTTCCCAAATCTACTCGCTCTTCAGCAACAAGCTATGCAGCAAGCTCAAAACCAACACATGAACGGCTCAGGAGCGGTCCAAGATCTCTCACTGCCGAAAGAGAAAAACGCCAAAATGAATGGAATGACTGATAGTGATAAGGACAGACCAATAGACGCTGAAGAGGCTATAAGACACGCTGGCAGTGCATTCTCTTTAGTCAAACCCAAATTAGAACCGGGACAACAATCGACTGGTTCATCTGCGTCCAGCCCCTTGGGTAATGCGATACTTCCCCCAGCGATAACGCCAAATGAGGACTTCAGTAGTTCAGCAGCCGCTAGTCCCTTGCAAAGAATGGCATCAATAACCAATAGTCTCATTTCGCAACCATCCAACCCCCCTCATCACACACCTGCTCAACGATCGATGAAAGCTGTCTTACCGCCAATCACACAGCAACAATTTGATCTCTTTAACAATTTGAATACCGAAGACATAGTCAAGAGGGTAAAAGAAGCTCTGAGTCAATATTCCATCAGCCAAAGATTGTTCGGTGAATCCGTTCTAGGACTATCTCAGGGGTCCGTCAGCGACCTGCTAGCAAGGCCGAAGCCGTGGCACATGCTGACGCAGAAAGGCCGAGAGCCTTTCATTCGAATGAAGATGTTCTTAGAAGATGACAATGCCGTTCACAAGCTTGTTGCATCGCAGTACAAGATTGCACCTGAAAAGCTGATGAGGACTGGAAACTACAGCGGAGCACCTCGTAAGTATTTTGCAATCATGCAGTTATGACTGATTTTCTTTATACATTTACTTTAAAGGTTAGTTAAATTTGTCCACAAATCTAATGAAAACATTACTATTGTTGTTCCAGCATGTCCGCCCAACATGAACAAACCCATGCCACCGACGCAGAAAATGATTTCGGATGCCACTTCGCTGCTCTCCAAAATGCAGCAAGAGCAGCTACTGAGCGGCGCGCACCTGGGCCACCTCGGGCAGCCACCACCGCTGCTGCTCACTCCACCGGGCTTCCCTCCACACCACGCAGTGACGTTACCGCCGCAGCATCATGACAACAACAACAAAGAACATCGCAAACCTCCACCACCACCGCAACCACACCAGCCCCCGGTCATGCGTGCGCTGCACCAGCACATGTCACCCAGTGTGTACGAGATGGCCGCGCTCACGCAAGACCTCGATACGCAAACTATTACGACCAAGATAAAGGAGGCCCTCCTCGCCAACAACATTGGTCAAAAAATCTTCGGAGAAGCCGTCCTCGGCCTGTCGCAGGGTTCAGTCAGTGAGCTCCTCTCCAAACCTAAACCGTGGCATATGCTGAGCATCAAGGGCCGCGAGCCATTTATCCGTATGCAATTATGGTTGAGTGACGCCCACAATATAGATCGCCTGCAAGCCTTGAAAAATGAGAGGCGAGAGGCCAACAAGCGACGAAGATCTAGCGGTCCTGGTCAGGACAATAGTTCCGATACATCCTCGAATGACACATCAGAATTCTACCATTCAAGCTCGCCAGGACCCACGTCAGGGGCACCTTCGGCGAAAAAGCAAAGAGTACTATTCTCTGAGGAACAAAAAGAGGCTTTAAGACTTGCATTTGCACTGGATCCCTACCCAAACATGCAAACGATAGAATACCTTGCGACAGAGCTCGGTTTATCGACGAGGACTATTACCAATTGGTTCCACAATCACCGAATGAGACTAAAACAGCAGGCACCTCACGGCTTACCAGCTGAACCGCCAGCTAGGGACCAATCCTCGGCACCATTTGACCCTGTTCAGTTCCGACTTCTTCTAAACCAGAGATTGCTCGAACTACAGAAAGAGAGAATGGGTCTGGCTGGGGTTCCGCTGCCGTATCCCCCATATTTTGCTGCGAACTCAAATTTTGCTGCGCTTATCGGCCGTGGGCTGATGCCCCCTGAGCAAGTGAAAGACCAAACCAGCGGGTTAGATCTGTCCATGCCTCTGAAGCGCGAACCGGACGGCGACGACTTTGAGGACGACGACATAGAGAGCAACATCGGCTCAGAAGACTCACTGGATGATGGGGAAAGTAAGACTGAGCCGAAAGCGGCGTCGACGCCCGCCGGTAGCGGGCGATCCAGTAGGAGGAAACCCGCTGCACCACAGTGGGTCAACCCTGACTGGCAGGATGAAAAGCCACCACGTAACCCTGACGAAATCATAATCAACGGCGTGTGTGTGATGAGAAGCGACGACTTCAAAAGAGAAGCTGAGGAGACGGTTCGCGTGGAGCCCTCGCCAGTGCCGAGGGAACCTTCCCCCGCCGTGTCCCCCGCACCGCGTACCCCTCACACCCCCCACACGCCAGTGACGCCGCGAGCGGCGCACACCCCTGTGGAAGAAGTGTTGTCAGACGACAAGATAAAGTCCGAAACCGACGACGACAGATGGGAATACTAGACTAGTGAATTTGTGTGATAAAACTCTTGCCGAGTGTTAGTAGTGGGATTTTTACGGGTCCGAGAGTGTTAGCTTAGACGTGTAGTGTACCATATCACGGTTGGCCGGTTATTTATTGTTAGTTAAGTGATCCATCGAATGGACGGGACCGTGTCCGGTAGTCGAGTGCGAGTACTGTAGTTAATGTGTTTTTATTATGATTCGATTGTAAGGCCAAAGACTTTGTAAATATCCTTAGCTCGTTTTCGTGATATGCCAGGCATACGTCCTGCGCGGGCGGGAAAAACTTACGATACAAAAGTTGCATTTTGCTTTAATTTTTTATTTAGTGACGAGACGGTACCCTGACTAGGTACAAACATCTGATTATTTTTAAGTTAGGCTTCGATTCGATTGATGTAAATAAACATACCAAATATTTTATCGAATTGCGCGAGCCACGGTTTTTGTATATACGTAGGATAGCGGTACGTTATTGTGTAAGATAATTCGTTGCCGATAATTTAGGGGTAGGGAAGTTCAATTTAATTGTTAATGAAAATTTGAAAGTGCAATCAGAATGTAAATTTAAGCTATGATCTATACTGACCCCAGTTGAAAAGTATTATTATGTTTATATGAACCGGTGAGGTTTAAAATATTATAATCGGGTTATAAGTTTTGCAATTAAATTATGAATGTTTATTTTATACTATTGTATGTTTTCTATACATTATTTTGTATTAGCCAACGAGGGACCGCTCAAGTTTGTGATTTATTTACATTTAACCACATATTTTTTTTCTATTTAGCTTTCATAGACTCAATAGTCCTAGACTCTGTAGTTCTGTTTCTTTTATACATTTTTTTTAGAAAACGTACAAATCTAGACACAAAATACGATTAAGCAAATAATGTATTGCTTGTGGTTATAGTTTTTATTTTATTTTAGCAATAAATTTGCTTTTAATCTAATTTGACTTTTTTGTTTTTTTTATATATTTTCCTTACCTTTTTCTTAGGGGATAATTTAAGTAAAAATGTATATTTGAAGGAACCATACTCCTTGCATCACAATGTATATAGTTATATTCAGTTAATGTAAATAAACTAAGCGAAATGCCACATTTAGGTAGTAAAAAGCCTAGTTAATAGTGCATAGGACACCCAAAATAAAATTACGTAAAAGGGTAATTCATGATTAATCGAAAATTTTATGTCAATCATGTATCGGACGAGTATTAAATTATTAATAGTTTTTAGGCCCCGATTTTCGAAATTCAATATTTGAAAAATTTAAGAAAAACAATACAGTTTGGAAAAATTTTCACGACTCTTGAAATTTTTTCAGAATGCGTAAGAAAGTCTTTTTAAAAACATTCAGATTTAGAAATACCAAACTTCATACATATCGATGTTTTAACCCAGTAAGCTAGAATAAGTGATAGCAAGTAATAGTTCAATATTATAAAAAAAACCTTTTTAGGCTGTTTAACAGTTAAAATTTCGTTCTAACTCCAAAAATTTTTTGACTTCCATTTTTTAATTTCTAAAATAGATGTAATTTAAAATTCTTTTTTATATTTTTGAGCTTTTGCTTTTGAAAGAATATTTATAATAATATTATATTGTTATTATTAAATGGTGTCTCCAATATGTTGTACGCATTGTCACAGCTACTTACTATCGGGCGGTATTTTTACACTAACGCCATAGATTAATTCCAATACAGATTGTTAAAATACCAAATATTATATTTAACAAAAACCATTCATTTAGCTAAAGCCGATCCAATTTCAGTCACTTCTTAATTTCTTTCCTTAGATAGAAAGTTAAAGTGTACACTAGTGACGAATAGATATTCTGAAAAGCCGACATAGAAGCTACGCAGCTAAGGTTTAATTTTCAGTGTTTACACACTGTACAACGTGCAATATATTCACGACGCCCACTGTCGTATACTTAACCACCTGTATTTCATTGTTATGTTGATGTTAGCAAATAATGTACAGGTTTAGACATAGCCACTTATATATTATATTATATACGTTACATATGTCGTACCGATATAGCTTAGTAATTATATTGTTCATATCATAATTATAACTAACGCTGAACAATTGTCTTCTTTCTGAACAATTTCTAAAGTTAATAAATTAAAAATAAAGAAATTGCTAATCTACGATGGTTTTCATTTCACCTACATAATAGCCTAAACACATTCTTTAGAGGAGAGCAGTGTTCGACAGTGGAAAGTACATGGTTGAAATATAGATTATATCTTTGTTTCGTAGGTAAGCAAATTATCTAGATGTCGTCATACAGATTAAATTCTACTGCTTATTCGTAAGGCAAATTTCCTTGAGAAGAACGAGCAAGAAACTCTAGGGGCTGGGGCTGCACTGTGTAAATAAACATTTGTATACATTAACATTTACAATATTTATTTCAAATATGCAAACAAACCACTCGCATTAGCTAAACGGGCCACTACCACGAACTTTTGCTATCCAAATACGGTCAAATAAGACACATTGTAAAGAATGACAATATAATTACTTACGACTCTATGCGATATTATTAAAAAGAATCCAACAAAGATAACTTAAAAGTTGATTATTGTTAATCAATAAAATAAATATTTCGAGTTCTTAGGTTTTCGCGATTGTTACACATAGGAAATGAAACTATTTTTCCGGATTTCAATCGCGTATATTTGTTTTTCAAACAAACCGACGTTTCGGGCCCTTTACAGGTCCCATGGTCACGGTGGACTTGACATGGTCATGGTCAACCGTGACCACCGTGTTGTACAGTGTGAAAACAAATATACGCAATTTAAATCCGGAAAAACAGTTTCATTTCCTAAAAATAAACATTGACAAAATAGGGCGCGAAGTGTATGTATGTTTTCAATAAATAGAGACCCGTGCCCAAAACTGTAGCAAATTACATACCGTGACACAATACACGTGTACATACATACCGTCAGATTATCAATGCAATTATCTTTTTTACGTATAATAAGATCATTGACTGTAACAAAATGTCTAGGCGTTAATAGAAACCTAACAAGCGAAGCAAGCTAAGATTCGAAACTAGAAAACTAAGCGTAGCGAGAGTTTCAAGACAGGAGACGCAAAACAACTTTGCTGCCGGGCGAAACACACAATTTTTCACCTCAACGGAAAATGAAAAAAAAAAAAGGAAAATGATAGATGGAGAAGAACACTTGAACTACAACAAATCAGTTATAATAAACAAAATTAGTTATCGTTGTCAATTTAATGTCAACAATAATAAGAATAAAATATTCCAACGGATTTATATTATACATAAATAAAGTACGACAGATCGTGTACTTCAACGTGCCATTATGTTTTTTTTTTCATCGAAAGAAACAGGTAGGTGCACCACACCACAGTCCAACTTCAAGTTCGAATTTCAAAATCATCACCATCATCGTCAACCTGTTTAGTGGGACGTCCCACTGCTGGGCCCTGATCTCCTCTAAAAAGAGCTTTTTTAGAGGAAATTCAGGTGCAAATAGGTGTGAGTTGTGTTGGATACGGCCACCGAACATTTTTTTACGTTGTGGTGACTTTATATTAATTATATGAAAATAATTTTGTCTTTATTTGATGTTTGTTTGCGTTATGTGTGAGTGATCGACCACGTAGAGCTGCCATGGTCGGGTCGGGCTTAAAATCAGGGTTGAAATCAGGGCAAAATGATTTCAACATTTCTCAGAGCTCATGTCCGTCCCACACAAATTTAAACATTTTTTTATTTATTTAGAATTAATATTTTTTTATAATACCGTAAATTGTGTTTTTCTCATTTCTGTAACATTTTTCATTTATGTGAAAATAAATTATTTAAATAGGTTAAAAAAATATTGCTGATTGTATCCAACACAAGACAGACGTTTGCGCGGCGTCTAAAACCCATGTGTGTCGCATACCCTGCACCTTAGGTAAAGCCGGCATTGATTCTCTGATTTGGTCAACACAATCAATACAATTAAACGACTATCTTTTAAATTTAACAATAACATTAGTGGGATTCATACTCAGTGTTAAGGTTGACTTAGCTTTAACGGAGATCCGTATTCTACACCCAACCGTACTTCAATATCTTCAGTTAACTTCGTAGCTTTTTCGTTAAAATAACGAACTATATATTGGTCACTTGCACCATCTAATTAACATAACTTAAATTTATTACATAAAATAAAATAAGCTGTAGATTGTCGCACTATTTATTTTAGACCCTTTGTCGAGACAATCTAAAGTAAAACAACAAGAAAAAACAAATTTATTTAGGAAACTGAAAACAACAACTATTAACTAAAACAACAACAGCTACTACGTTTAAACAAAACTACTCTACCTCTTCTATGACAGGACCGTCCTTTTCTGCGCGTGAACCAGATCCGACATGGAGTTTCTTCATCAATGGAGCACAAACTTTGTTAATTTCCTGGAATTTGTCTTCATATTCACATTTTTCAGCTAAACTGTTACCATCTAACCAACGCAACGTTTCTTCACATTTACGTTTACCCATAGAACATTCGTTTTCACTCAGTTTACCGCCACTTTCGTCTAAAGCCTGTTTAACTCCAAAAACATACGTCTCAAGCTTATTCCTAGCTGATACTCTCTCTCTTTGCATATCATCTTCTTCTTTATATTTCTCAGCATCAGATAACATTCTGTCTATGTCAGCTTGTGACAGTCTTCCTTTATCATTCTTTATAACAATATTCTTGCTTTTACCAGTGCTGTTTTCTTTAGCTGTCGCATTGAGTATCCCGTTCGCGTCAATATCAAAACTGACATCAATTTGTGGTATACCTCTAGGAGCGGGTGGTATACCAGTCAAATCAAAAATTCCTAACAGATTATTATCTTTAGTCATCGCTCTTTCCCCTTCGTAAACTTGAATAGTTACCGCTGGTTGGTTGTCACTGTACGTCGTGAAGGTTTGGGAGTGGGTGCAAGGGATTTTAGCATTCCGTTCGACGATTTTGGTCATCACGCCTCCTGCTGTTTCTATGCCTAAAGACAAAGGCGTAACATCGACAAGTAGGACAGATTGTATTTTAGAATCTTTGTCTCCAGACAATATGGCAGCTTGAACAGCGGCTCCGTATGCAACGGCCTCGTCAGGATTAATCGAAAGATTTAATTTTTTTCCGTTGAAGAAATTCTGAAGCAAATTCTGAACTTTTGGAATACGGGTCGAACCACCCACCAGAACAATATCGTGAATTGAGTTTTTATCCAACTTAGCGTCTTTAAGGGCTTTCTCCACAGGTTCTAAGGTTACTCTGAAGAGATCTGAATTGAGCTCTTCGAAACGAGCACGTGATATGCGACTATAGAAGTCAATGCCTTCATATAGAGCGTCAATTTCAAGAGTAGCTTCAGTGCTTGATGACAAAGTTCGCTTAGCCCTCTCTGCAGCTGTTCTCAATCGACGTAGAGACTTGGGATTACTCCTAAGATCTTTCTTATGTTTGCGTTTAAACTCTTCAGCCAAGAAAGTCACCAGTCTATTATCAAAATCTTCACCACCCAGATGTGTGTCTCCAGCTGTAGCCTTTACTTCGAAGATAGATCCTTCATCGATAGTAAGGATAGATACATCAAATGTACCACCGCCTAGATCAAAGATCAAGACATTCCGCTCTCCTTTCAAGTTTTTGTCAAGTCCGTAAGCTAAGGCAGCGGCTGTAGGTTCGTTTATAATGCGCAGAACATTCAACCCAGCGATGGCTCCTGCATCTTTAGTCGCTTGCCTTTGAGAATCGTTGAAATAAGCAGGAACCGTGATTACAGCATCACGAACTTTGGTTCCGAGGTACGCTTCTGCGATCTCCTTCATCTTTATCAGCACCATGCTACTTATTTCTTCTGGAGCGAAAGTTTTAATCATTCCTTTGTATTCTACTCGGATTTTTGGCTTCCCACCTTCGTTAACGACTTTGAACGGCCAATGTTTTAAATCTTGTTGGATCTTAGGGTCATCGTACTTGCGTCCTATCAAGCGTTTAGCATCGAAAATAGTGTTACTAGGATTTAAAGCTACCTGATTCTTTGCAGCGTCTCCAATCAAGCGTTCAGTGTCGGTAAAAGCAACATAGGACGGTGTTGTACGATTTCCTTGGTCATTCGCTATGATATCGACGCTCCCGTGTTGCCATACACCCACGCATGAATATGTAGTCCCCAAATCAATCCCCACTGCTGGCATATTTGAATATTACACTTTTCTCACTTCGTACAATTTTTCGTATAAACTTGTAGACAAAGAAAATGAACAAATCATTCCAGTGACGCTTTATGTTTAGTATTTTTTTATTTTTTAATATATTAGACGCCAGTATCAATATAATAAAAAGCTGGTAACTATAACTGAACTCACAAAGTATGTATATCGACTGTGAACTGGCAACCAGTACTATGTCAATTTTGACAACTTTACAGGTGAAGAAAAAATCATTTAAATAGCATCTAATTTATTAAATAAAATTACATGGTGTACATACGTACAGGTGTAATATTAATATTTAAAAACTACGTATTTTTATTTAATAAATCAAATGCTATATAAATAACGCAAACATTTTTTTTCTTCACCTGTAAAGTTGTCAAAATTGAAATAGTACCGATGACCAGTCCACAGTCGATATGTGTATTTGATTGTCATCATCTGGCTCTGTCTAAAAGTCAATTATCCCAAGTTAAGAAAATATCAATATAAACTTTAAAAATTACACTGACAGCTAACGTCAAACTACATTTTCAAAACAGTGAAGCGTCAATGCGAATATTTTGTAAAATTACGTTAAACGTAAAAATACAGCCATAAATTAAACCTTTTCAGAAAGCTTTTAAATGTCGAAACATATAGAAAGAAATTAGACACTTATTATAGGATAAAAATCACAATAACTGGAATATAATCGGATCATAACATCATTGCCAAAGGCAATAATTTCTAAAAAAATCTAAGATGCGGTACGCTCAGCTCGTTGTTGGACCTGCTGGTAGTGGTAAAGTAAGTTAAACACCAATATTTGCCAAATTTCAGGGCTAAAGTGAAATTGTAATTTGAGGTTATATTGATTTTGTATGCTCAAAAAAGCAAAGACTACATGCTTTTTCGAAAACACGTAATTAACAACAAGAAACCAATAGTAAAGTGTCATTGAATCATAGAAAAATAAAAAAATCTTTTAAATGCTTTGGGTCCATCGAAATAAAAAAAATTATAACCGTATTTGCATAATAACCCCTTAAGTATTTTAATAACCGGCACCGCACTGAGTCCTTAATGAATTAGTCTTTCCACCCTGACGTTGGCGAAATTGTCGCGCAAAACGACAGAACCATATGTATATGATAGTTTTGTAAAAATATAACTTCTGCTTTATAATGTTACAACCCCATCTATACCATATCGGTAAACACGCCAATTCCAAGTTGAGGGACGCTCGCGTTTTGAACTCAAAGATTGACTGGAAAATTCCGAAAAGAATCACTGAGAAGAGAATCTATAACAACAGAGTACATACTAAGACTATTACAAAAAGAAATTGTTTTTTTAATAAACTTTCTATACTAAACTGCCCCAGTGGCCAAACGGTTACCACACCGGACTGCCACGCAGAGGTCCCAGGTTCGATTCCCGGGCCGGGAGAAATAGTTGTATGGCCTACATTTAGTTCTCTCGTGAGTTTGGGTGTAATTTGTGGTTGTCTATGTGTGTGTCCATGGCACCCGCGACACAGGGTTTCCCTAGTGCGGGGCTATGTTGAGTGTGTGCGTTATTATTATTATAACTAAACAAATAATAAAATAAATATTTAAAATTTAATTTTCGTTTAATGTTGACATAAGTTGTTAAAAAACTTTCAATGACTGTCAATTTGTCTCTTCGTAGCACTGAGTTTTCAAACCCTGACATTGGTCGAATTGTCACGTAAAATGATGGAGCCTTATCTTCATAGTACTTGTCAATAATGTTATTGTACTTTCTTCCATTCCCTAGTCTACATACTGTTCCACAATGGTAAAACACGCAACACACGCCAATCGCATAATAGAAGTAGTGAATCTAGACCCGGCAGCAGAACACTTTGACTATGAGCCACTTGTGGACATCAGAGAGCTGATACACTTAGATGACGCCATGGAAGATGAAGAGTTACAGTTTGGACCAAATGGTGGACTTGTTTTTTGTATTGAGTGAGTTGAAATTAAAATCTAGTTACCCTTTCTATACACATACACCCTGTTTAGGAGTAGTGGGAAAATCAGATTCAAAGTAAAGCAAAATAAAAATTGTAATTTAAAGAAAAACTAGCTAAGACAGAAAAACAGAAACTAACACACCATAGGCAAAAATACATAAACAATGAAAAATAGAAAATAACTAAGTAAAAATATTTATATCTGCCCCATCCATTAGCTGATCCACTACACACCCGCAAAACTCAAGATAGGCACTACTCTAATATTGTACAATGTTGAGTTACGCAAAACCAGTATGTTACACTATCTAATGTTACTCATGAATGATGTTCAGGGGTGCAGGAAAGAAGCCTCCGGTCACTATGATAGCAAGCATTGTAATATATGCCATTGATACAATATTAAGAACCTAATGTCAAGTGGGAATCTGACCAATTTACCATGTTTATGATTATCTTAAAAGTCAATACACAAGGACAAATCCTTGAATCGTAGGAAAGAAGTAGGTAAAAACTCTTTATATGAATCAATAATGTTCCTCACATTAGTGACCTGGACTTATCAATATATCCATCGAAGTATATTGCATCGAAATATGTTGTTCTTGTGCATGTCGCAAGCTGTCATGTGTGTGTCTCACAACTGCATTAAACCAGCATCATGTAACTTAGTATACCTTTTATATAAAAGCCAATGTTGCGCACAAGTAGATACTTAAGACAAGAATGTAAATGCTAAACTACATAAAATACAATTACCCAACTTCCAGGACACTCCTCGAAAACAGTGATTGGTTAGAAGAACAACTAGGTGATGTAGATGACGACTATGTCCTCTTTGACTGCCCAGGTCAGATCGAGTTGTACACACACTTGCCTGTCATGCGAAGGCTGGTTGATCAGCTGGAGAAATGGAATTTCAGAATATGCGTAGTGTTTATGATTGATTCACAATTCATGGTTGATGGAGCCAAGTTTTTGTCAGGTATTTGTTTTTAATTTATATAGCCTTACAATAATAACTAGCAATATGTTCAATAATTTTTATGAGACCTGAAGAACACATGCATTCTGCCAAATACAGTATTACGGAAATGCACAAACAGACTTAAACACATTGTTAAAGCTAAATAATCCAAGCCATCTACTTATAAGAGAGACCCATGCCCGGCAGTGGTATGTCAGTGCATTAACATTGTAGCATAACTGAGAGCAGTGAAGACTTGTCGGAGAATAGTTAGAATCCCTGTGAAATGGACCTAAACATGCTTAGTAGCAATACTGCTTGCTAACAGTGAAGGAAAACATGGTGGTGATAAATGCATTTGTCGTAATTGTCAATTTTTATATGGCTTAAATTGTTCTTAATTTTTGTAATAATTATTAATACAAAGATCGAACACAGAACAAATTCCTTTGGTCCGGCCGGATTCGAACCGACGTCTTCTAGCATACGGTGTCAGACGTTATACCAACCAAGCCAGGGAACGAACCAGCGGACCTCACGAATTTTTCTATGTGTTTGTTGTCGTTTCTTTATATTCGGTTTTTTCAACGACTTTTTAGCCGTAGCGCCATCTATGAGAAATCTTAAGTATTTCGGCACCCAGTCAGATACCTTTACAGCTACCAGCCCTGGGTAGAGATGTCGCTATTCATTGTATTTAATTTTAATTTTTGTATTTTTAGGCACAATGGCAGCACTTAGTGTGATGGTGAATCTAGAACTTCCACATGTAAACGTCCTCACCAAAATGGACTTGCTTAGTAAATCTGCAAGAAAACAGTTGGATGAGTAAGAATAATATTAACCAGCTTTTTCTCTAACATTATGCACAAAAACAGCATCTTTTGCCATGCACATAGACCAGTAATTTAAGAGGACTGGTAATCGTGATACAAGACAAGTATTGGTACACCAGATGTCGCGATGAGTATCAAATAGCCTATTTTGTAACTAATTGACGAATTACAATTTATCAAAGCTTCTCTCATTTCTTGTGATAACGCTAAATGACGCTTATGGCACAGATTTGAACAACGGAGTGTCAACTGTCAGCACGGAGCTTATTTCACACCCGCGCACGGTGATTCACGCTCCATACTAAGGCGGTCATAAATACGTAACTCCGAAATTATTATTATTTTTTTATTTTATTACGTTAAAATATGATTAGGTAAACGTAAATTAATAAAATTATACATTTTAAAAAATATTTGACAATATTTAGGTGTAAAAATGTCTCGCAGTAATTTTGTTTTTAGACGATGTATCTAAAACATTTTATACTGCGACTTTTAATGGTAAAACTGTGTAAATAATGATTATTTGTATTAACAATAACCACAAATGAATAAATTAAAACAATAAAAATACATAAAAAAGTTCATTTTACAAAATACAAACAAAACACAAATTATACCAAAATACATTAAATCTCAACAATATTAACTTTAAATACATAACAAGTCTAATACAGCTTTTGACAGTACACCTTTTTTTTTAACAGGTAACTTTCGTAGACCTGTTATGAAGGGATCTGAATGAAGAAGCAGCCTATTTACTAAATCTGTGTTGGTCACAATGCGACTCATTTTACGCGTATGATTTTTTCTAAAAGACTTGATGTATTTGTTAGTCGCTTCAGCTGCTTCTTCAGACAACTCTCCGATTGACAACAAACCATAATCTATAACATTAGCACCATGAATTAGAACTTTGTGAACGGAAGCAGGCATGTTATACCACGGATACTCGGCAACTAACTGCCGAGCCGTCTCTAAAGCGAACTCTTCGAAGTTCGTCTTATTAATATTATATCCCGAATTTAAACATTGAAGGATGATCCAGCAACGATCTAGGAGATCCTTCTTGATCCCAGTAATTTCAGCGGAAATTTCTGAATTCGAGAAAAACCGCCTGGCTGTATTACCATCGTTTGATGTTCCGCTTCCGCCACTTTTAGGCTTATCCACTATAAGCCCTAATCTTTCTCTAAATTGAGTCTGAACATATGATTTTTTTGCAGCAACAAGCATTTTGTCATTAGCGGACCTAGCTTGCCATTTCCTAACATCTAACTTGCACGCGACATGAACAAAATATTCAAAAAAACGTATTAACGCGTGAAGAGGTGATAAACCAAATTCATATTTACTCTCATCGACTTCCTTATTTAAACATTCGTCAATTTTGTTCATTTCACTGGGCAAGGCGTTACAAATAAAACATTTTGATGAAGAAACACCACTAAGTGCATTACACACTTTACCATCTACCATAGTAAGTTGCAAACAATGAGTAATGCGATATTCGCGATCTTCTTCCTTGAAAACAGTAGGCTGCAAGTTCCTTATTTTATCTTTAAAATGAGCTTCTTCCTCAACTGACACTGCAGTCGATTCCTTCAAATATCGGAGGCGTATAGGACGACAGTATCGAGTTGATGAAGGACGAGGATTTTTCCACAAAACTACTGAATTTTCTTTGTTATCTGTTGTCAAAACAAGCTGAAGTGGCACATACGAAGTAACAAACAGGCTACTGTCTTCAAGAGTGGAGTCAGAAAAACACTGTTTATATTCTGAATGCCCTGTCCATCGAAACCCCATTTCCCTATCAAAGATATCTTATCTAGAGACTCATTAGGTACACTATCCAAAACATCTTTTTGAGACTTGAGAATCCGATTGGCAGTATGATCTAATAAACTTTGAAGTTCGACTTCGGCGGATGATTCCGTAACAGTAATATCTGAAGGATAACAGTGTTTTTTAAATTCCACGACACTTTGGTAAGATGGGAAAATGGTTTTTGAAAACTTATTGTCTATAAATTTCTTTACTAATATATATTGATGTCGAGTTAACTGAGCTTCAACAATGAGCGATAAAACTTCGCTAGAATCGATTTCAGGACAAGACAAGCTATCGGACGCATTGAGCAATGACTGTACAAGAGAAGGGTCTTGGTTAGACAAACTAGCCAATCTTCTCCTTTTTGTACGTTTACTGGTGTCGTCAAAGTTAATTCTCGGACGGCCATGCGATGAAGAAGTTGATGGTTTAACTTCGTCAAAGCTCTGAGATACACGTAACTCAGTTCGCTGTACATCAATATTTTCAACGACATGCAGCCAATCTGAATATTTTTCTAAGAATTTAGATCTAGTACGATTCGACTTTGCCCAGTAGTGGGAAATTCGTTTACAAATATTCTTAATTTTAAGGCTTAAAGTCTCTAAATCAATATTTTCGATGTCGTCAGAAAGGGATGATGTTTCGGTCAAAGTGCTCAGGACGTGTTGCATTTTTTCATTTGGATTACCCACTTTAGAGTGCCAAATATCAAAAATTGTCATCCTCGATACAGAACATTTGAAAAATGTACCTAAAACAATATGAAAGCTGAACTTAAAAAAAAATTAAAAATTCAATACTATGGACATGCATACTTTGACACCCCTTTAAGCCAAGAAGAGGCAGCAAGATGCAAATGAAACTTATAGCTCTTAATAAGGACATACTCCTTATTCAAAAACCATATACCTCAGGTGCAGCTCAGCGCAGCCAAAAGTTGTAGGTCTAAAGGAAATTAAGTTATGCCAAAAATTTTCACCAAAAAACTGCCTTCAATAAAAAAATTATATAAAAAAAAGTATGCATAAAAAAAATTAAAAAAAATTGATAATAAAAGTACATACCATGCTCTTGGATCTCCATGCTTTCACAACACGTAAACACTTGATTTGGAATAGTGACACTCAAAAAACAAAGTGATTAAGTTTCGATGACTCACACGTGGTGATAATTAGTCTCGCGATGCGCTCACTTCCGATGCACAAAAGTGAATGATAACGTGACCTAATTACATTGATATTTATAGTTTTTGGAAGCTTGTTAACTAGTTACTAACTTAGTGAGTTGATCTAACCGGGATAAGCCAATGATTTTTTTTGATTTATGGCCTATGGGGGAATCACAGTGCCGCGCATCCCGCGCTTACCTAGATTTAGGTCACCCATCAGATAAATGCTCATTACAAAATAACTAGACCACTTATCCAAGTTCTGTAAACGGTACTGACTTTCTAAATAATTTTTCTATAAAAAAATTGTGATGTAGAAAAGCTAATATCTACAATGATCGTAGTAAAAACGAAAAGAAAATGTCAAAAATCATGATTTTTCAGAAGCATACTTTTACAAGAAATTACACCTAAATTCATAGAAATTTAATTAAAAAAACATTAAGCAAAGTCTATTTATTATAATTCAATAGAAATCTGGTATAATGCTTCGCAAAAATAAAACTAAGTTTTAAAACAAAATAAAGTTTTACAACACATTCAGACTATTAGTCCTGCTTTTTTTTAAGGAAACGAGTGCGTTTTGGTGTTGCAACAAATAAAATATTTCCTATACTTCTTTGTGGTCAAAAGTTGTTCAAACAAACATATATAACTCTATCATTATGAAAAATCGGTTTACAATCGTCTGGATGCGCCGAGCCGCCGTTGGTTCCGCGCCAGTAAAGACTTTTTCGGGCAAAATGGCGTAGAACCGCTGGTGGCTCCGCACCGTTCCAGGGGCTAGCAAGCCTTATTAATAAATTACTTACACTTGCACGGCCATGGATCATGCTAACCATACTACAGATCGCAACTCTGAAAATGGTAAAAATAGTCTGGAAGTAGTTTATAATATGTAAATGGCCATGGATATCAACTATTTCACCTTTAATATGAAACACACAATGCCATCTAATGATTGACATGAAAAACTGTCTACTTATATTTCATATCACAGAAATATTAAAAAAAACACGAGAAATGTACATCCTCACTGAATCTATCTACATAATAATAATAACGCACGACCTCAACATAGCCCCGCACTAGGGAAACCCTGTGTCGCTGTGCTATGGACACACACATAGACAACCTCAAAATGCACCCAAACTCACGAGAGAATAAATGTAGACCATACAAATATTTCTCCCGGCCCGGGAATAGAAACCTAGGACCTCTGCGTGGCAGTCCGGCACTTAGAAAAAATTATTTCCATCCGGCCGAACCGACGTCTCGCTATTCTAACTAAGCCACGGAACGAACCAGCGGATCTCAATTTTCTATGTGTTTGTTGTTGGATCTTCTATTTGGTTTTTTCAACGACTTTTTAGCCGTTGCGCCATCTACGAGAAATCTATGAAAGTATTTCGTCACCCAGTTGGGTACCTTTGCAACTACCAGCCCTGGCTAGAGATGTCGCTATTAACTGTAATAAAATTTTTAACGTATGTCGTACTCTACTAGATCTTTGTATTAATAATTATAACAAACTAGTAGAGTAAGTTCACAAAAAATTATTGAATATCATGGTGGTGAAATATTATGACATTCCATAAAAATGTAATTTGTTTATTTTTGTTACAGCCCCTTTCTTTTCCTCTTATAATAAATTTTTGTGGACCGAACCTTCTCTTTATTTTCGCCAAGGCTAGGCTACAAAGTCCTTGATCTCTGTAATGAAGTTCCCAGTGGTATTCAAGTTCAGGACCTACATTAATATAACGTCTTTCATTTTTTCCAGCTACCTAGATCCAGATCCGCACGTTCTCTTATCAGATATGCGTAACTCAAAATCGAAATGGCACGAAAAATACGCCAAGCTAACAGAAGCTATTGGCGAAGTCATTGACAACTTCAGTCTAGTACGATTCTACCCTCTTAATATCAAAGATGATGAGAGCATAGACAATATTTTATTGACCATAGACAATATAATACAATATGGAGAAGATGCTGATGTTAAAATCAAGGACTTCGATGAACCGGATCCGGAAGATGGCAATGTCGATGATAATAAATATTATGGTGAATAAATTATTTGGTACAAGTTTTTGTGTATTCATGGAGACCAATCGTTCAAGAAGACTACTAATGGCTGTACAAGATGGCGTAGTTGGGTATTTAGTGCTTATTGGTATACCAGATGTCGCGAGAAGTACCAAATAACAATTTTTGTAACTAATTTGTAAATAATTGACGAACTACAATTAATCAAAGCTTTTTAATTTCTAGTGATCAGTCATTCTCGGAGTAGTGTTCACTACTTTCTTTTTTCCGTGACAATTTTTATTATTTATAATATTATTTAATGTTCGAGAATTGTGTCGTGAAATATTATTTAATAATTACTCGATAATATACTTGAATATTGAAATAAAATTGCCACAAACAAACAAATCAACCAAATGGCGCTTATTGCACAGATTTTTATGAATATTGCTGGCTATTCTTTTATTTTCTTTTACGCCATCTGCCTTACTAGCAAGCGTTAATTTGTAAATTAGTTTGTAACACACAATGCCATATTGACACGCATATTTATCAAAATTTAGAAAAACATATTTTAGCACATTGTCAATATTTGGTGTCCACCAGGATGGCTGGACCAAACAAATAAGTGTTATTAGCAATTACACGGAGAAGATAAACTGTCTTTACAGAAGATAACTTTTTGTGGGGTTTGATTATTATTTTTTTAAATAACTATAGAAGTTTCTTAATAGTGAAAAACGTATGTTTAATTAGAAATCCTGACAGACACAATATTTGAATAACATTACAAGAAAACTGACTACTTATATTTCATATTAAAGATGAATTATGGATATATGTGTGAGTTAGTTGTGGTCTGTAGTGTGGAGATTCGCAGACCTCTCGAGTAATTGGCCATGGCGTATTTCATTTAATTCAGATATTTCCCAACAAAATAATAACGTCATTGACTGATTTTTTATATATTAAAGGGGCGTTCACATGGTTTTAGTGATCCAGCAGTAAAAAATCCTGTTTTTGTTTTGAGTGCAATCAGATCTAACCTAGGCCTTTCGTTCTCGAGATTCAGAAATGGTGCCGCCGGAATAAGCTTATTTCAGCGTGGACAGTAAAACACCGTAATAATTTCAAAACGGCGTAACGACTAAATCTAGTTTTTTACGACTAGAACCGAGTAATTCACGACTTTTTTTTAGTGTAATCAGGTCTAAGGTAGGTGTTGTGGTTCTCGAGATTGAGAAATGGTGCCGCTGGAATAAGCTTATTACAGTGTAGCAGTAAAACACCCTTATAACTTTTGAACGGCGGGCCGACTAAATCAAATTTTTTGCGATTTGAACCGATTAAATTTTTCTGGCAAGTCATTTCAAAAACTCGACCATGGTCACGCTGGAATAAGGCCTAATCGCGGACGAATGACGCGACTCTGATATATTCAAATAACTCATTATATACCTACTCATTGACGCTGCCGCGACGATGAAGGAAAACAGAGTGGCGCGGAGCCACCTGCCCGCAGCTAGTCGCTTATTGGAAAATAGCACTTATCATTGTAAAAATAAGAACCAATGTGAATCTTAAAAATAACATTTATTCTCACAAACATGAACATTGCAATATAAACTTATTAAGCTACACGTGTTGTTGATAAATGAACTAACATATTAAGCTAAAATTAATTTGCATTGCTTCTCAATTACAACAAACGTAGTGAGTAAATTACATTATATATTTTACGGTACAGTCGACTCAAAAAGTGATTTTTGAAAACCAATTAAGATTGCCTAAATCATTTTGAATTTTTGGAGGCGCTTTCACACGCTTGTAGAAACAGTGCAGTGACGCCACTGTAGCACTGCAGCGGCGGTGGCGCCACTGTTGTTTTTCATACAATATTTAAAAGCGCAGCACATGCTACTTTTGCAGTCACAATCAAATACAAACCAAATACAAAAATGTTTATTCACTCTCAACAAACAACTTAATATTAAAAGAGCATCAACATCATCTCAGCCCATTAACACCCACTGCTGGGTATAGGCCTCCTCTTTTGTACGCCAGCCCAATCGGTCCCGTGCTAGTCTCATCCAGTCTTCCGGCCACGCCGACGATATCGTCCATCGTCGCTCCTACTCAGCCTTGGTCTATCGGTCGTCGTCCCGCCCAGCAAACGCGGCTATGTGACAAATAGTCAAATATCCAATTTAAATAGCAAAAAATAGAGCACAAAATTCTCTTTTAAAAATAGATAAAATTATATAGAAACTAACTATGCATAGCTGAAATATCATTAAAGAATTTCAACATTCTAAACCTGGGTTATAGTTTTTTATGGTATCTCAAAAAATTATTTTGTCACTTAGCCACATTTTTTCCAATTTAGGCTCACGATCCGCATACCGACGTCTGCGAGTTTAGTGCGCTGTCGTTTCTTCACATTGGGTATACGGTCAACGAGGACAATGGCATGGCGCGCTCCGTTGCCCTTTGAGACCCGAGGCACTAGTGTCTTGAGAACAGGATGAAGTCAGTGACAACCTTGTACACTGACTGATCCAGGGTCAGGACTTGAACTTTGAAGATTCCTGGGCTTGCACATATAGTGCCCTTCTCGTATAACCTAAATGGGTCACTATAATCAAAACTTATGTAGAAAGGAGCGGGTTTTTGACACAAGATGTTGTCACGCCTGTTGAGATACCCGCTACGCCTCTGATCTACCCCATTCACTCCTACTCGCATCAGCCTTTTCATGGCCAGTGCGGTAGGTCCACCTCGGCGTATATACCTCTATCTTTACATATTGCATTCGACCTAAAATTTCGGACGACTGTACCTCGTGAAATTGGCTAGCGCAATTTTAAAAACTTCAGACATTAATTTTAAGCTCAATTTACTAAAGTGAAACTGAACGTATGCGACCCAAAAAATGCAGCTACCGTGCCGTGTCTAAACTAGATACGTTACACAGTTCAATTAAAATTCATTATTCTATGTACAATTTCGTTACAAACCTTCGCTTCCATTTCGTTTCCCGGCAATGTAAATTGAGCTTTGATTGTGATAAAAAGTATTACAACACAGGTGTACAGAGGGACTACTTAAAAAAACATAACCCGTCTTTCATTTGTAATATTTCTAAATAAATTATCTACCGAAATGGTCAATATTATTATATTCAAATGCATTTAAAAAGCATCTGTAACGGTTACACTTGTCCCGTTTCCCCTCAGAATCGGGTGGAAACGACATCACGGGGAACCGCAACGGAGCCTTTGAAAAGTGTGAAATAAATTTAAATTTAATAAAAGGAAGGACTTACAGCCAAGTGCTCAGTTTTACGGATTATGGCCAGTTTCTATTATAATAAAGTTAAATTCAGTTTTGTATTGTATCATAAAAAATTGGAGCGATTCTAACGTTGATTATACAATTGACATCAAGATATTTAAGCTGTCTCTAAAAAAAAAATACGCAACTGAATTATGCTTTATTCGACCGCGGCAAAATTTTTTTGTCCATCTGATTTTTTTGTTGATTATTACACAATAAATCATATATTTATACATCTAACATTTATTACAATATGTAATAATACTAATAATAATTGCATTTAATATTATTATTTCTTAAATTCATTGTGAGTACAAACTTAAGAAAGATGTTTAAATACAAATTATTGACTAATACGTCGATAATTTTAATTAACTATAAATATTTCAAATTTACGATAACACAAAATGCGTCGTCGTATATTCCCTGTTGTGGTGCTATTTACCCATCAATCAGTTTCAAGCAAAAACATTATCTAATCAAATTCTTACAATAAAAATAGAACACTTTAATAAAATTATCTACTTATTTTTAATAACAAAAGACGTTGATTCTGCTACATGATTAACAAAAAGTAAACTATCTCTAGTACGGTTACTTACTTCAATGAAATGTGAAAATAATTAATAGGACAGTGTAACACAAACAGTACTAAACTGTTCATTAGAAAACAGTACAAAATTTAACCTAAACAATCTCGTTTTATTAACGTGATACTAAAAGCTTGACTCTTATTTGTGGACATCATCATATTTAACTGTCGGGCTCTTATCAGTGTAGCCTCCTCAACGGTCCATCCATACCCAGCTTATTGACCTTTTTGTAGCTACTCACTTTCACACTCACACTGTCCTCTTTAAATATGGACTAATCACATGCTTTTAATATGACGAACCGAAATGCTTATTAGCTAAATTCGACTTGCCAATAACTTGGCTTTTAATCATAATTCGTAATGTGTATGACCAATGAGATAGCTTTAATATCACGTAAAATAAAATGACCAATCAAATGTCTGCAGTGATGACAATTATATACTGAATTTATAATGTGAAGGAAAAGGGAAGCAAACAAAATTGGCATCAATGTTGACGAAAAGATGCAATTTATACAAAAAATTCTACGTCTCGAATGCGGCACGGTCAGCAGTGCATATATACAGTCTTTCTGCTTCTAGAGGAGCAAGTTCTTAACGCTGTACTGTATAAGTACACCAATAAATGACGATTGATAATACCTTATACAACACGTATCTATTACCACTATTTACAATGATTTGTCTAGCTTCAAACACAACATTTGACCTTAACAATTAAGCCCAGATGACTTCTTTTTACATGTAATACATGAAGACAAACTCTACACATGGAAATGTGATGCGGTATTCCTATAAAATTGATAGCAATATCAACAATTTCTACCTATACTTTGTTTCAATCCATTTTGAACAAAAAGTAAACAAGTCACTGACCCGACCATAAACGGTTTAGTGATGGCCAATTGTAACGAAAACTACAAGTCGATTAATTGAATGAATCGATTTGTTCAATTGAGTCATACTAGCGGTTTTCCTTACATAACCTATATAAGCATATTTAAAATTTCAATTTAAATCCTCCTTCAAATCCTTACACTTAGATACTCGTTCGATTGCGATTGAAATGTTCGATTTAATAATCGATTACTAATCTTTAATTGATTGAACCGAATGTTTGTTTTCGAACAGCACTATACAACCATAGGCAAGTCATAGAAGTATAGATGAATAATAACCTCACTTTTAGACTACCATTTTTCAAATACGATTTTACGATGCTATTCAAATGAATATTATTGGAAAAAGTGATGATATATCAAGTCGAAATCTTTGAAATATACGTGAAAGTGAATAAGTAATTATTCGATTTATTGAGTGATTGCTTTAGAATTTTAACCAAACAGGTTTGTTTACTTTTTGTTAAAATTGATTGGAACAGATTATAGTATGATATCCACGCAGCGTTCGGTGTGTAGAGCTCGTCAAAAATTACCCATCGAGTTATAAACACAACTAGTTTAAAAGATTAGTGAACATTTGTTACTTGTGAATTATGTACAAAATTTAGATGGAATGAACTAGGAATAACAAAGCATTCTATTTATTAACTTCATATTTCATTTATATAGGATTATGAACTCAGTCACATATTATAACACACTAAAAAAGTATGTTACTTCTAGAATCATCTACAAGCCTATGGCAACAATTATCTTGAACACTCGGCAGCCCTGATTAACGCCTACAGCGATAGATTAGACAGGCATTGGCTAGGAAGGAATAGACTCTGAATTCTGACTGGATATATACCTTGGATAAGCACATGTAAAGCCTCAAGCCAAATGAATCGACTCTAAATTCTACCATGATGCCGATAAGACTTCCTTACCAGTTTTCCACAACATATGCCCCAGTCAGAGAGAGTAAAACCAATAGTAACTAAGACTATTCTAGTTCTTTCAATCTGTTGGTTTTAGCTCTACGTTGTTATTGGTGGTGGTCATAGGAAATCCATAGCTGAAGAACTGCACATATAATGTCCTAATAAGATTTAATAATAAAAATTATCAACAACCTCCTCTCGGAGTTTTCAAGCACTTCAGTCATCATACATAGAGATATTAAAATCAATTATGACCCAAAATAATTTAGATCTGTGTGTCCCAGATGGTCCGACATTGACACAATGGAAAATTATTTAAGCATTCGATAAGGGCGGTATTTACATACGGTTAGAACAATTTCGAGAATCTGGTCCCTTTCCTTCGATACTATTGCTTAAAAGTAACCTAAAATGCATATAATTCACTGAAGTCCTTCTTAAGACACCGGTGCCTACCGGTGGGACGATTAAGGTTTCAGCGTTACAACATACTGTTCAAATCATTTTCAAAGAACGAAGGCAGCACATCTTTCAATTCATATAACACTGGGTCATCCAACACAAAATCACTCAACGAAATCTCTTCTTCCTTCGCCTCTTCTTTGGGTAAACACTAGATAGCCGGGTCTTCTATAGGCATCTCATACGGGAATGCGCGAGAGTCGGTGATGCTGAAGACGTACATTCTGCAGCCAAACTGGAGGAGGGCTCCGTGAGGGACCAGGGCCGAGCCCTCCCACGCTGCGGTGCGCGGAGGCGAGTCGGGGCAGGCGCACCGCTTCTCCTGCGGCGTCGGAGAGGTGAGGTCGCCGTTCAATCTGTTAGAAGGGTCAGTTTATATTTTCGGTTATATTGCCGACACAGTAGGACGACGTCTTTCCTGATAGCACCGCCGCGGCGACGCGGCACCGACCTGAGCGGGCGCGGCATGCGCCGGCGCACGATGTCGCGCACGGCGCCCTCGCGCAGGTCGGGCGGCGGCGGGCGCGCGGCCACGTCGCAGGCGAACAGCACGCCGTTCACGCACGAGCCCCACTCGCTGTAGTTGATCAGCTCGAACTGGCGGCTCACCTGGGGGCCACGACTCAGCTTTTCGCCTTACTCTCGTCGCTAGTCATTTATACTAGGGACACCCTGTGTCGCGGGTGCTATGGACACACACATAGACAACCACAACCTACATCCAAACTCACGAGAGAAATAAATGTAGACCATACAAATATTTCTCCCGGCCCGGGAATGGAGCCTGGGACCTCTGCGTGGCAGTCCGACACGGAGGCAGTTATATGGCGATCATATTTTAAAAAATAGGGGAAAAGAACTCTAAAAAACCCCACAGGCATGCCAATGAGCTTTTGTTACTTGTTTAATTACTTATTATGAACGTAAACGAATGTTTTTATGGCGCAAACTTTTAATTTCTTCACTGAGAAACGCCCATTCAAACAAACCTCAGTAATTTTTTCGACCACCATTTTCAATCCGCCATCTTTAAATTTTTATCGCCCTCAACGGCATTCCTTTTTAGAATTTATATTCTACTTGATTTGCAATTTTTGCAAACATAATGCCTCTGTGTTTAGCACAAAGCGTTGTTTTACTTGATTCAATTTCTTAATGCATTGTGTACTCTTGTTCAAGACTCAACAGAATTAAGTCCCCCAATTAATTTAACCGCCAACATTTATAACATACTCATACTAAAACCAATAAATAAAATATTTTATTATTTCTTTCTCCGAAGCTCACAAAACCGTGTCCGTTTGACACTAAACGACCGAGCTAATTAAACAAAAAACATATTTTACATTTAAAAAATGACAAAAATGTTTCGAAATGATACCATAATACTCACGACAACATCATGGCAATACTATATGGATGGTATGTTTGTAAAATGTAATGTGAACTGAAAACAAGGAGACTCACTTCGTCGTAAAAGATGGTGGCGTGGCGACGGGAGACGCAGCGACAGCTGTTGGCGTCCAACACCACGTCGCAGCCGCTGTCCGAACCCACAGATAGGCGTGACAGCCGCATGGGCACAGGCCGACCAAGGCCGTCGCCCAGGCCGTTCCTGCAGGCCAAACAGAACTTAGGCTTTTGACTTTGAGGGGATCTCACAACTGTCGACCAAGTTATTGGTCATCTATTCTTCATTTCAATCCATTTTCAACAAAATGTAAACAAACAAGTCACTGACCCGACCATAGACTGTTTAGTGGTGGCCAATTGTAAAGCCAAATATAAACCGATTAATTAATTTAATGAATCGATTTGTTCAATTGAGTCATACTAGCGGTTATCCCTACATAACCTACGTAAGCATATTTCAAATTTCCAAAATCTTAATTTTAAGTCCTCCTTCAAATCCTTAAACTTGAATACTCGTACGATTGCGATTGAAATATTCGATTTACTAATCGATTACAAAAACTTTGATTGAATGAACCGAATGTTTTTTTTCGTACAGCACTATGCAACCATAAACAAGTCATAGATGAAAAATAACCTCACTTTTGGACTATCCTTTTTCAATCACAATTTTACGATGCTATTCAAATAAATATTGTTGGTAAAAGTGATAGATATCAAGTCGAGTCGAAATCTTCGAAATATACGTGAAAGTGTTACGTATTCGATTTATTGAGTGATTGCTTTAGAATTTTAACCAAATACTTTTGTTTACTTTTTGTTGAAAATGGATTGGAACGGACTACAGACATGGAACTTTTCATTAATAATATAAAGTGATATTTCATTTTTTTATTTGGTATTGCAATGTATATGTATAATAATTAAGTATATAATACGTATGGCGACGTAAAGGAAAACATCACAGACATCTGCTTAGTAACAGTAGAGCTCTTTATGAAAGAGTTCGTCCAGGGTGGTACTGCCACTTTACATATGAGATTTGTCAACTTATGTCGCAGGGTGACGGGTGCAGTGGAAGTGCCCCTAAGATCTTCGCTATTTAAAGCTCAGAGTGGCACTGCAACTGTTATGGACAGGCGTATAGCTTAACATCAGGCACACTACTTACGTCAATTGATATTATAGAAAAAAGTGGTTTCCTGAAGGTTCAATTTGGGGCTATTTAAGGCCAGAGTAAATGGGATTTTTTTTAAACAAACACGTACAGTCAAGAGCACGTGAAGATTGGCATTCTGGACTGTTCTTACCGTAAGCGGCACCGTTATAAAATGTCAAATTTGACACGTTCTTGGCCCTGTACTGTCGTAGCTTGGCAACAGGTGGTAATAAAGGATTAGATAAGGAGAACCACGGTCGCACCTGGCAGGCCGAATGACGGGGCAGAGCGTGGCCCTCACCACAGCGTCGCTGAGCGAATGGCCCGGCGACGCGGGGGGCAGGGGGGACTGGCCCACCTCCGCCAGGCCCCACACCGCGCTGCAACATGACGCCTTACAATCAACTACTGTGGGTTCCGACACATAAATACATAAACAAACGAACAAAAAATGTAACGACTTATTTCTTTTAAAAAATCCGTCCTTTCTTTTTCGAGGTCAAGATCGTGCTTTAACCAGATCGATGATGGGAATTAAAAAAGAAATAAAAGTTTTTGAATAAGACTTATTTCTTTTAAAAGTGTATACAACCTCAAATGGCTTTGGTTGATTCTGCATAACAGTGAAAGAGTTCTAGCAATCACTTTGGAAAGAATTTATAGTAACATTGAGGATATACACTGATTACTATATGGTGTGAAAACTACGATTTCTAAAAATTTTCACACTAGAAAAACAACAGAAACCTACTTCGAAATTTTACAAGCAAACCGCTGTATTCAATACGTTTTATACATATACCAATGATTTTTTTAAATATAAACTGAACTAAATAGAACTTTAATAGAGCTTTAATTTCGTTTATAAAAAAATAAATCCTGAAACAAAGCCAGTGTCCTAGCCGCTCGACCTAAGCAATATGAACCATATTAGTACGGAAAAAATTTAAATTCGAGCTGATACCATATCTATTCAAGCAGAAATGTGAGTACAAGACGCCATGTCTGAGAGAGACAGCTCATGAATGACATCACTGATGTGTCTGGTCATTTTTTTAACTTACACAGCAATGACTCCAGGACCTATAATGACAATAATTCAAGTTTCGCGGCCTTCTAGAAAAAAAGCTTCCATACCGCGAGATTCTTTCCCTCTCGTTCCTGGACAGCAGCTCCGAAGGTAACGCGACGTGCTTGAAACCGTATTTGGCGAGTTTGGCGCGCGAGATGCTGCGCGAAACTAGCTCTTCCGCCTGTGCCGATAGAGGAGTCTTGCGCCACGGCCCGTAACATTGCTCGCCTACTAGTACCTGCGCGTAACAATACAACATATGACAGACTGACATCGACCAGATTGAAAGCTTGCCGTGCAATCACCGTTCGATTTATTAGTGGACAAATGTTACTACGACATCAAAGAGTTCATAAATGACATTATAACTTAATTTTTTATTTTTTATTTTCTATTTTCACCTGACGAAGCCTACGTTGCGGATATACTATGTTTTATTAATTTAGTTGTTTTTGTTGTATAATTTAATTTACTGCAATTATAGTTACTACTTTAGACTTTAATAACTAATCTGACATCCTTGAATATTAACGACATTATAAACATAATTATGTAATACTTTAAATGATTTCCTTTTTCTTTTTTTTATCTCCTTAATTTTAGATTGGCAATCAATAACTCGATAATATAATAATTATGTTTATATTCTGGTTTTTGTATACCGAATATATTTTCAAATATTTGTATACCAAATGTTTTGGTCGGACACAGTGAAACTATTTTGATTATGTCACAACTACAATTATTTAACCTGTGTTTTCTACAAATAAATGAATTATTATTATTATTATTATTATTATTATTTTGTGTAAAGTCTGTTCCAATCTATTATACCAAAAAAGTAAACAAACCGGTTTGGTTAAAATGGAATAAATAACAATTTCGCGTATATTTTGAAGATATAGACTTAATGTCTCACAATTTTTTCCAGCAATATTCATTTGAATAACATATTAAAATCTTATTTGAAAAATGTAATTGAAAAGCGTAGTTCAAAAGCGAAGTTATTTATCAAATGTGGATTTATGAATAAATAGTCTATGTTGCAGAGGGCTGTACGGAAATAACTCATTGGGTTTATTCAATTAAAGTTTTTGCAATCGATTAGTGAATTGAAAATAAATTTTATCACATCGTAGTAAAGGTCGGATTTGAAGGATTTAAAATTAGATTTCGGAAATTTTCTATTTGCTTTTATAGGTTATCTAAGAAAAAGTTTCTGATCTCATGTATTATCACTCAGTGTTGAATCAATCGTATATCTCATTTTATTATATAAAACCCAGTTATTTTAACTGATTCAATTAAACAAATCTATTCATTCAATTAATTAATCGTTTTGTAATTGGCAGTACAGTTGGCCATCACTAAACTGTCTATGGTCGGGTCAATGATTTGTTTGTTTACTTTTCTGGTACAACGGATTAGGAACAGACTACAGGTCACAATACGAACTCAAGCAATACAAGCTCCTAGCAGGCCCCCGTCCCTTGTTTTTCCAAGAAACAGATCCGACATCCCGAGCCCGAGAGAGACAGCATATAATACGCATAAAAGTGGCCGACCCGCTGCAGCTGCTGCCAGGCCAGCAGCTTGACGAGGCGCTCGTCCAGCTTCTCCAGCTGCTCGTCGACGGCGGCCAGCAGCTGCTCGGCGCCCTTGTCGGCGCGCAGCTCCAGGCGCGCCGGGCGCTTGGGGCTCTTGGGGCTCTTGGGGCTGCGCGAGCCGCGCCGCTTGGCGCCCGCCTCCGGCTCCGACTGGTCGCTGGCCTCCGACAGCCCGTCCTGCGACAACGGGTTCGGGCGCTGCTGCACTGCCGCTCGCGCGGGACAGCGCTTGATTGTACACGTTTCAAAAACCGTCAAAGATTCTCACGCAACGTTTCTCTGGAATTTTGATCTAAATTGAATCTACTAAATTGAATGTACCGTTCAAATTAAATTGCAAAAATCGGTTCAGATGACAAAATGTGCATCGATAGTGAAGCTGGAATAGAAATTGCAAGAATCTGATGCCCGAAAGGTACCTTGGCCTCGGCGATGGCCTTCAGGTCGTCGTTGGCGTCCTGCTGGCTGGCGCCCCGGAGCCCCCGCGAGGGGTCGGCGCGCCCGCAAACGCCGCCCGCGTACTGCGGACACTGCAGGTTCATGCAGATGGAATGCTTGGGCTCACCCGGCGAGGGTTCCGTCTCCTCCAGGCCCAGGTTCTTCAGGACTAAATGCCAAGGAATGTCGTTGCATTACGTAATTTATTCACAAGCACATTTACAAAAATTATACTAAAACACTGTACATGAACAATATGGCAGAATATATAATATGGCAAATAACAAAACTGTAGAGCCTCATTGTCACATGCTGCTTTCAACTCCATCTATTTTGCGTTTCTATGCACCTCCACCCGAGTAGATCTGATCTAGAATATGTGTCATTCATAATACGACGCTTTTACCGTATTAAATTTAGTCACATTTTTCATTAGATATAATAAATTGATATTTAGTGGGTAGTGAAGAGTTTAAGACACTGGTCATTGTAGAAAATACAATCCTTCTGAAACCACTATATTTTACCGCAGAATTATTCACAAAACCAAAAGTTACGCCTGCAAGTAGAACTGCCGTATAATGTTGCCATGATTTCAAATTATTTATTTCAATGTTGCTGCTACCAAAAGTGGGTTGCTAGATTTTGGGATAAAATAAAAATAGTGCTGTCTTAAAAGGTTCAATCAGAAGATCTTTTGTTAATTTGAAAAAATAATTAAAAAAAGAAAAGAAAATTATTACAGAAAAATTGTTGCAGTACATAGATTCAGGCAATAAAATGATGCAACAAATATCGCAATATAATTTTTCAGTGAAATTAGAAGCTGTCAGGTCTCACCCCGCATGTCGGGGATCTCGTACGCCACATCGACATACTCTCCAATTTAAATAATAGAATAAAAAACAGAAACAACAAAAAGATACCTTTATATTATTAATTAGTAGTGGTATACAGTAGTTACAAAAACCTGTCTAATACCATATAGTATGAAACAATTAATGAAACAATTTCTTGAAACTACAGGCATAATTCATACCGGAAATATCTGAAGTACCGGTACCGTAAAGTTAATGGTACCGGTTCCTGAAAATACAAGTATATTTTATAATTGTCTCCGTGGCGGAACGGTTACCATGCTGTTGGTCTGTCACGGAGAGGTCCCGTTGAAGAGGTCCGATTCCCGAGCCGGGAGAAATATTCGTATGGTCTACATTTATTTATCTCATGAAGTTGAGTGTAATTTGTGGTCGTCTATGTGTGTCTATGGTACCCGCGACTCAGGGTTTCCCTAGTGAGGGGCGAGTGAGTGTGTGCGTTAAAAAAACCGGTAGCACGTAAATATCGGTAGTAAGTTTAGTGGTACTTGATTCCGAAATGTGTCTGTTGCAATAAATGTCTATTCTATTCTAAATTATCCATATTCCAAGCCCTGCTTCCATGACCTAAAAATGTTTGTTTCGGCACAGTCGGCCTGTGTCAAATCCGTTTTCTTATTATTTTAACTGCCTCCATGGCCGAACGGTTATCATGCCGGACTGCCGGACCCAGGTTCGACTCCCGGGCCGGGAGAAATATCTGTATGGCCTACATTTATTTCTCTCGTGAGTTTGGGTGTAATTTGTGGTTGTCTATGTGTGTCTACATGGCACCCGTGAACACAGGGCTTCCCTAGTGCGGGGCTATGTTGAGGGTGTGCGTTATTATTATTATAACTAAAAAAATAATAAAATAAATATTTAAAATTTAATTTTCGATATTATATTAAATTTTGACATAAGTTGTTAAAAATCTTTCAATGACCGTCCGACAGTGCATTATTATTATTTAAGGGTTTTCTTATTATATTATTTTTTAATATTCCTGTTCTGTGCAGGCTTTGAAACTGCGACTAGTACGGATCTATTGTGTTCACCACTAATTCTAACGCAGAATCACCACAGTTAAGTGGTGGCAAAGTCGTATTACTAGAGCGACGAGAGAGAGAGAGAGAGAGAGAGACTGACCTGCGGTGCAGCGCACGTGCTCCCGGCGGCTGGGCAGCAGCGGCGGCGGCCGCGCGTAGTGGTGGCGCACCATGGCCGGCACCAGCACGCGCCCGCGCACGCCCACCGGCACCTTCACGCTGCGGCAACAGCACGACTCTCATCAGCTCATCAGCGCGTCACGCGACGGCGCTCCCCGCCCCAGCGCCCATACCCACCGGAAGGGCGGCCGGTGCCTCCTGGCGCGCCGGATGAAGTCCACCTTGATGGCGTGCTGGTCCACGGGCCCCGAGAACTTCTCCCACAGCGCCACGCGCTCCGTCGCCGAGATGGAGTTCACCAGCTTCCAGTCCTGGAATTAGTTCTCGACCCGTTCATCCACACTGCTTCAATAGCAGCGCACACAAAGATGCCACTACTTTTCTCTGTGCCGACTTCAGCACATAGTGAAAAAAAGAAAAACAAAATATAAACAAACTAGTGGAGTAATTTCACAAAAAATAATTTAATACCAATTCAATAAAAATTTAATTAAAAGTTAATAGCGACCTCCCTAGCCAGAGCTGCTAGCTGTAAAGGTATCTAACTGGGTGACGGAATACTTTCATAGATTTCTCACAGATGGCGCTACGGTTATAAAGTCGTTGGCTGCGCCGTTATGTATCATTTTCAGTTTCCTTTATATTTATTTGGTACATTTATTAATTAATAACATTTATCTTAAGTATTTTTCTCATCGCACACAAAATGCAACTCGAGCGCATGTAACATGATATTCTGGCAACAATATCCTCCCTCTCACCCGCTCCCCGCTACCTAAAAAACTGTCGTCCGAGTCCAAAAACTTGAAGTGCACAGAGTCACGATTGTTAAACAAAATTAATTATACAAGCTCATTAAACAATATTAAAATCCGCTTAAACTTATCTACTCAATAAAGAAAGTGTAAACATATATAAGAAAACCTTGGACATTAGTTACACTCAATTGCTGTGTGTGTGAACGTGCCTTCACGAGGTAAGTCCTGGGCCCCTCCAGTCGTTGAAAACCAAATACAAAAATCCGACAACAAGCACATAGAAAAATTCGAGAGGTCCGCTGGTTCGTTCCCGTGACTTAGTTGGCATAACGTCTGTCACGGTTTGCTAAAAGACGTCGGTTCGAACGCGGTCAGATCGAGGGAATTTTTTCTAAGTGTTCGATCTTTGTATTAATAATTAAAACAAACTAGTGGAGTGAAATCGAGTCCCTAGGTTTTCGCGATTGTTACACATGGGAAATGAAACCATTTTTCCGGCTTTAAATCCCGTATATTTGTTTTTTCGAACAAACCAATGTCTCGGGCCATTTACAGGTCTCATTGTCACGGTTGATAATGTCAAACCTGTAAAGGGCCCGAAACGTTGGTTTATTTGAAAAAAACAAATATACGCGATTCAATTCCGGAAAAATAGTTTCATTTCCTCGTGGAGTAAATTAACAAAAAATAATTGAATAACAATTCAATAAAAACAAAAATAGTTATAATATGTATTGACCACTGGGAGATTATTTTATTTAAAAATAAACCATCAATCAAATCTGGCCTAATCAACCTATTCATAATTCATATTTTTTCTATTACGTCTTTATTAACAGACTTCTACAATTAACTGCTAATTCCTCTTGTTATCTTGTATGTTCAAATTCAATATATCTTTATTTCAAAACTAAATAATTTACACTTGAAATTGTCAAGTTGATTAAACTGATTAACTCATTCATACTTACAATATATTGCTCCACATGGTTGGGGCACATCCATCGTCCGGTGGGCAAAGCCGTTAAGGGCGGATCCAAGCAATCCTGATAACCAATTGGACGTTTAAAAAATGTCTCAATGCTTCAAAAATTATGGATACTTTAGTGTCATGCCGTGACGCATATCACACATTTATTACTTTGTTGAAGATGATTATCTCCTTTACCTACCAACGACCTCAGAAGCCCAACAAGTAGCATTGCCAATGTTTTATACAGGCTGTATATTTGAAAGTGGGACTTACTTATAGAGTGCGTTATATTCCTGATTCTGAACCCAAAGAAATAATAAACTTATGAACTTAAACTTTACAAAAAATATTTTAATTTTTTTTTATCGACTGCTACTTGAGAACAACATTACTTATCGAAATCTATGCATCTCACTATTATTGCTCCGACGCAGCGGCGGGTGGCGGCACGGCGGCGAAAAATAAAGCACAGGTCGAGTGTGGCGGCGCGGGTGCATACGCGAAATTGCTGTTTGCAAATTTAGGCAGTGCACGCGCGACTTTGACCTAACGAAGACACGTAAATTATTTGTACTTCCGCTCGCCCGATCGCCGCAAAATGGATATTTATTCTAACGTCGAATTGACCGAGATGATGCGACTTTACGCAATAAGTGGTGATAGTGTGAGACAAGCTATTGAAATGTTCCCAAAACGGAGTTTACGCGGAGGAGTTGAACAGTGTCGAAGTGCCGTGAGAGGATTATCTTAGCATTTTATACTTTGAGACAAAATGTGTTTGTGTTGTACAATTTAAAACAAAATTTACTACGCCGTGCTAGACTATGCATTGTGGAAAACGGTGGACATTTTGAACATTTGCTCCATACCACGTAAGAGTAAATACTATTACAAACTACTACGCTAAAAACCTCAATTCTTATTAAATGATAACTAGTTACTAAATCATAAATTTATCTTTTTTAGTACGTAAAACATTTCGATGATAGTTCAAGTAAAAAATAATTAACATAAGCTAAAACGTAAATGTGAAATCATTGTTATTGTTGCTGTCTCACTCGGCGCTCGCTTGGTAGTATTCCCATTGCATTCGAAATCAAGCGTAAAAGGAAACGGTTTATTCCTATGTACACTTCAAAACACAGTTGTTGATTTATTTTTTGTTCTATCCCATATCCTAAGTTTATTTTAGTGTATGTTAAGTTGTAACATGATTTACTATGGCAGTATGAATATGTCTCACTTTCCAATATACAGTCTGTATAAACCCCAATTTTGTGACATGCCCTTTTTCATCCAGATTCCTATAGTTTGAACTAATACATAACGCAATATTATGTACAATTTCAGATTTATTTATTTTTTTAAATGGGGTAATTTTCATTTCATCTGCACACTTTTATTTTCATCACAAAAACAAGCGACCCACTAAACATCACTTTATTGTGTCTAATTAAAACTCCATAGTGAGTGATAAGTACCTGGTGGAAGAGCAGCGGGCAGTAGTCGCACTGCAGCAGCGGTGCGTACTTGCAAGTGCCGCCGCAAGCGTAGCACGCCTTGGCCGGGAGGGGCACGCAGCCGGACGAGTCCACCGTTACCAACGAGGCGTTGCCGTTCTTGCTGCCTTCTGCGGGTCACACTCAATTACGTTTTAAATTATGTACACCAATACAAAAGTAAGGGCACCTTGTGGTCGCTTCTGAGTTATGTAACTAATAGGCAATTCGACAATAGTTGTTAGAAAGAATGCTTGTATAATAAGAAGTACTGCCACCTTACCTATTTCTGCCGGTTTTGAAGGGTAGGGTGCTGGTGAAATTACAGGTACATGAGACCTGTCAACTTATGTTTTAGAGTCACAGGTGCAATGGCAGTGTCCTTCGGATAATTGAGATTTAAAGCTCTGAGTGGCACTGCAACTGCTATAGACAGGCGTGACGCTTAATACCAGGCGCACGATTGTTACTTGGTATCTGTATATTATATGGTATTGGTATTGTATATAAGAATCCGCTAGATGGCATTAACCCATTTTATCTAAATTCTGGTGAAACTGGTGACTACTTCGACTGAATTTTGATTATGTGACAGAAACATTGGTACTATCCATTCGTTTCTAGGAGTTGAGTCCTTGTGAGAATGACTGCCTGGACCCATCTGATAGTTTAAATTTAAACTTCTATTTGATGTTATTCAAATGAATATTTTATGTTAATATTTTTGTATTGTACTCATAATACCGCCGCGACGGTTACAGTTAACCTGGCATTTTGTAACTTTTTTTAAATTTGGAGCAACAATGGTTGGACTGCCATGCAGAGGTCCCAGGTTCATTTCCGGGGCCAGGAAAAAACATTTGTATGGCCTACATTGATTGCTCTCGTGAGTTTGGGTGTAATTTGTGGTTGTCTATGTATGTGTCTATGGCAACCGCGACACAAGGTTTTCCCTAGGAGGGGCTATGTTGAGTGTGCATTATTAAAAAAAAAGTGAAATTCTTAAATTAGCAAAGTGCACATTGACCAACTTGTTCATCGACCTAATGACGTTACGCGTTTTTTGTTGACAACGCAGTAACGCATATTTCTCCCGGCCCGGGAATCGAACCCGGGACCTCTGCGTGGCAGTACGGCGTGGTAACCGTTCGGCCACGGAGGCAGTTATTCTGACAGGCGCCGTTTGCGCGCCCATTTCTTTTAAATTCCAATCGAAATAGTTGTAAAAATCGTTGCTTCTTTTAAATAAAATATTATTTTTCCTGGCTTTAATGTATACAACATTTTAGTCATTATGGTTAATTTTCAATACTGACTGAATTTTTTTTTACTACACAGTAAAAACCTCATTGAAATGTTGTATTATCATTATTAAACTGACTAACAGAAATTCTACATCAACACCACACAACTGCAGCTGACCATGTATCAGTTGAAGCTTCTGTGGCAGGACATTGTACATGTTAACTATACAAATGCAATCAGTCTAATAACAGCCCTATTATACTTTCAACAAAAGCAATGTTTCATTATTTTAGCATGGAACTTTGAATAGTCACTTTACCTTTGTCGGTCCCAGGAAACAAGCAAGGCACTCTCATTTCTCTTGGCAGCTCAAACTGCCTTGGATTCATGATCTTTGCAGCCTTCACCAGCACTTCCATTGGAGTTAACTCTTTTTCCTCTTTTTTAGCTTCTTCTTTCTCTTTAGAATCGTCATCTTCTTTTGAATCATCTTTAGATTTCTTTTTGTTTCTTAAAGATCTGTTAGAAACATAAACAAATTATAAAATTCACCCCTTTAAATGTAATATGTGTAATTTTAAATTTTCAACAAAATGAAAACTATTTCATTGATTAAATTGCAATAATTATCTTTAAACAAAGTGATCACAGTCCAAACTTGACAAGCAACAGACGTATAATCCTTTTTAAAGAAAAAGTAAACAAACAAGTCAGACCCAACCATAGACGGTTTAGTGATGGCCATTTTCAATCAATTAGTTAATTGAATTAATCGATTTATTTAATTGAGTCTTACTAGCGGTTTTTGTTGCATAACCTATAAAAGCATATTTAAAATTTTCCGTACAACACTATGCAACCACAGACTATTCATACACCCATAATTAAAATATAACCTCACTTTTAGACTACCATTTTTTAAATACCATTTTACGATGTTATCCAAATGAATATTATTGGAAAAAGGGATGAGACATCAAGTCACAATCTTCCAAAGTGAAAGCGTCACTTATTCAATTTATTGAGTGATTGATTTTAGAATTTTAATCATACCGTATTGTTTACTTTGTGTCTAAAATGGATTGAAACAGACTATAGGAAAAAATACAAAATTTAAGTACTGCAGTATCTAATAATCATCACAGCCAAGAAGCGAGACACTTGCCTAGTCTTCTTCTCATCAACCTTATCATCAGGTGTATGAGAACGACTGCCTCGAGAGCTGGTTGATCGCTCTGCATCTGCCCCGCGGCATTCTTTACACAGCCACAGCCCTGCAGGGATGTCATTTTCATCTAGGGGAGGGTCGCTGAAAAATACAATGTTGACATTGCCAATTACCCCACTTATCAACAACCTTGGTGACCCAAAATTTTGTACTGTGGGTACTGGATTCCCAGTAAAACCAATTTCCGAGGTGATGAACGTGTTCAAGGTAATAATTCATCTCATTGGTCTGAGACTTACAGTACATGAAGTTCCCTAGTTTGACCAGGTAGTTGGTCTGGTTGTCTGGCACATTTTTAATATTATTACTAAGTTCTCACTCAATTTACTGCTCTGTCCCACTGCTGTACATGGATCTTACTTGTAGATTTCAAAACGCTTATGTATGACTTTTTTTCTACAGAAATTTTTCACCAATTCTTTTTTAAGTTTCCATTACAAACAACCATTACATTAAGTACAATCCTATAATGCGCTGAAATTAGAAGATTGTAAATATTATCTACTATATACTACTAAATATATACTATATACTATTCTCTACTACAAAACTGAAAATGTGACAACAACAATTTCTCAGAAATGTAATACAAAATTAGCTATTTTGATGATGTGCATATTGTCATCAAAATAGATAATTAGCAGACATGTAAAATGAACAGTAAACAGAGTAGTGTAGTTTCTTAAAATCTTCTCTTAACTCACTAGCAACCAAGGTGAAAGCTGGCAGGGCAGCGGTCGCAGCAGATGAGGTCGCCGCCTTCGCCGCATGCATCACACGAATCATGATTATGACCTTTGCCAGGCCTTTTATAATAAGGATGCTGAGGTTTCTTGCTTTTCTGAACATTCGGTTCCTCGTCCGGCGGCTTTATTAACGCCCGAATAAGCTACAACAATCATCGTCGAGTTACCAGCAGCATACATGGCAAGGTAAGTTTGTAAATCAAGCCGCACAATAAAATGGCGCCATGAAATCAAATACAAAATTCAAGGAATATAAAACCTTATTAAAAACCAACTTACTGGCATCAAACCACCCGAAGTATCTAGATCATATCCAACATTAGACATTTTCGACGGTTTATACACCTTTTAATATTCTTTTTATAGAGAATATCTGTTTATCATGCCACTTAAAGTGAAGTACCAACAAGAATTACAATTTGTTCGTCATACGGCTTCGAGACAATTTCACGGCAACATTATGCAGTATAAATACTTTCTGTAAGATAAAAGCTTTCGTTTGAGGTACAAATCTGAACTTAAACGGGGTACATTTGCTGAACAAAACACAGACAAAATTAATTTTAAGGCCGAATTCGGATTAGAAGAAAGATGGCCGCCAAGCGTGCAACTTGACATTAGACTAGAGCCGCTATTTACGAAAATAATAAGTTTTCCGGTTTCCAAATATACGATTTATTTCCTTATTTTATTAAGTTATTAGTCCCTCACTCAGAGAAAACTGCATAGCCTGTTAGTTAATGAAGAATATCAACGTTAGTAATAATAATAATAATAATGCTATGACTATGCATGATTGCTGAAAGTATTTTTTTATTTCATTTTAAAGCCAAAGATGTTAGCCACGTATTTTTTATTAGTCTAGTAACACTAATAATAAACTGTCAAAATCTAGTGTCGCTATTTTAAACGATGAATCCACCATTGGGAATAATTATTTAATTTCAATGTAACTACGTACTAGCATGCCATGCTAAAAAATAATTGTTAATGTTACGAAACCCAAAACATATTTTAGATTTCACCCATGTGCTTATGCACGTTCACTTTCCTAGTGACTACAATTAAAATATATTAGTAAACGTTTCGCAACGATTGCATATTCACTTCGAATGGGAGCGCCAACCAACATCAAAATCATGCCGTGTAGGTATTGTACAAGTTTATTAATTTCGACGCTAGTCCACTCCCTCTTTATGTCCTATGTAAACTTATTAAAACAATTTGGTTCTGTAATAGTTTGTAAATATTTAGGTTGTCTGTTGTTGTAAATTCTGTTTCCAGTAAAGTGTGCCATCAAAATTCGATAATCACAGGTCGAATTCTAGTTTCCACAGTTTAAGTCAAATTCTGAGTAATAAATTTGACGTTCGCGAAATCCTTGATTGTCAATTGAGTTAGAACCATAGATTTAGTATATAGGAGAACATTATTAAAAAAATATACTGAAAGTTCAAAACATATTCAAAGTCTCCTTGTAATTGTCTACTTAAGGACTCTAGCCGCAAAAGTAAGGACCACATTTAGTGACAAACATGTCATTTACATACAATCAAGTTGTACGTATTTAGGAAATTCAAGCGGGAGTAGATCTTTTTTCATTGATTACATTAAATGATTATATTTTTGGCACATAATAATAATAAAATTCTTTATCTATACATGTATCGTCACTGAAAAGACAAAAGTACTATACATATACATTTTGGCAGTTTGGATGTTAGTAACTTCCCTTTATTTTTTTTCCATCCTCTAAGGTAATTTCGCCTTTCTAGCGACGGTATTTATTATATATTTTTAAATGTTAAAATCCACAGAATAGGATTTGTTTTTATTATGAAGACAGTAGTTTTATTATGAAGACTAAGGTTCCAAATAAGCAATTTACAACACGTTATAACGATATTTTGTTTTTACTTCTATTTGTATGAGCTATATAAGTAAAACGCATATTCTAGAAACATTATATTAACAAATACTTTACAAATAAACACGCACTATCATATAGTACACGTAACATAAAATCAAATAAAACAGTGACTAGCACGAATTTGCAAATCACATCAGCTTTTGAGTATTGAGTATTGACTTGAGCATTGAGTATTGCAGTGAGCACTGAAAATCATACTCGAGTCCTTGCCATTAGGGTCGTATTTCCAGTGCTTGTGTTTCCAGTGCAATCCTGACTTGAGCATTAAGTAGAGTTCTAGAATACGACCCTGACGGTCGTATTCCTGAAATGTACTCAATGCTCAAGTCAGGATTTGAGCAGACTTGAGTATGATTTCAAGCATTGGAAATACGACCCTAATGGCAAGGACTTGAGTATGATTTTCAGTGCTCACTGCAATATTCAAGTCCTGACTTGAGCATTGAGTAGAGTCTTGGAATACGACCCTGAGAGTCTTTAATTTTAATAGCAGTAGAGCTCCTTGTGTAAGACTTTGTCCAGGGAAGTACTGCCACCTTACCTATTTCTGCCGCCAAGCAGTAATGTTAGCATTACTGCATTGCAATTTTGAAGGGTAAGGGTGCTGCTGAAATTATATGCACATGGGTCTTGTCAATTTATGTCTCAAGTTGACTAGCGCAGTGGCAGTACCCCTCAGATCTTTGCGATTTAAAGCTCTGAGTGGCACTGCAATTGTTATACAGTGGTGCCTTTAGTTATGTTTATTGATCCCAGAGCGCCGCCGACTGTTCCGATTGTTAATATGAAAATGACGATACATTTACTTTGGCGGTTTTAGTATTCGTTTGCAGAGCATTCTTTTGGTGCACTGACGACATCGCCGCTGCCGGCCGCGCTGTAATTATAACAAAACACGGAAACTTATTTTGTTGCTCAGTCACAGTTTAACACATTAAACAAGAGCAATCTGCAAAAAACGTTTAATAAATTTAGTGAACATTTGTCAACAATGATTTTATAAGCACAGTATTCATATTTTACGGATTGTAATATTCATTCGCTAAGATGGGAGTTTCTAAAACACTAAGACAGTTGCCACATTCTCAGCGTCAGTAATGTAGCGAAGTTATTGACGCTGCTTAATGTCACTATGTTCGTATGCTATTCTTTAGTATCTCAAATGCGTATATGGGTCTTATTAAGTAACAAATTAAATTACTTAAAAATAACAGTAAAGTTCAAAAAACGGATGTTAAGCATGGTAGGATAACAACACATTTTATGGCAACATTCTCCTAACGGAAGTTGCCATTGCTATGACGTCATGGGCGGAGTTTAGTTGAAGATCGAATTCGGATTCGGTTGGCGGGCGCGGCCATCTTGGTGAATTAGTGACCTGGCGATTCGGTTTTAGTTAGTGAAAAATCATTTGTCATCCACAATGTCCGAAAGGGAAGATAATGTGTATAAAGCTAAGCTAGCCGAGCAGGCTGAGCGCTATGACGGTGAGTACTTATTTTCCTTATATCGTTAGGTATCGGGATGAAAATTCTTCTGTATTTTCGCCGACAGTTGAACGACGATTTGGTGATAGTCAGGAAAAATTCTAGATGTAGATGTGCAGTGGACCCCTTGCAGTACCCGTTTTGCGGGAGAAAAGTGTCCGATGCAGTCATTTCGCTTGATTTTATTGGGGAAACTAGAGAATCAATGGCATTCGTTAGGCTTGGTCAGCGATCGATGCGTCATCCGCCGGTGGGATGCCCTTTACCTTTTTTACCGAGACCAATTGATAAAATGACTCGCAAACACCTGCAAAAGATTGATAGGGTAGTAAAGTCACGAATTCAAGGGCACCGAGCAGCATTTCCAGTGTGACACATGCAATTACTATGGTAATTTTCGCGAAGGGGATTTGTCACTTATTTTCCCATCCCTGTAAAATCGATGTCATTATGTTCGTTCATGCATGTCGCACCTTGAGCAGATCACTTGACTGGCGATCGGTGGTGGAATAATCTAGGCTGTAACAAGTTCTGGGTTGATGAAGATGCATTAAATTAGTGTGTGACGCCTCTAGTTTTCACCTATTGTTCGTTTTAGCGCCACGGGAACTTGACTGCGAACACGCGACTTGTGCATTCATCTTGAATAATGCACTCAGTACTTATCTAGCACCTATAGCTATTCTTTTAAGTGCTTTAACACCTATGTGGTTTGCTGACATAGAAAATTGGTTCCATTCAGAAAATTGAGATAATGAATCAATACGACAGCTGCACTCTTGCACTGGTTGGTTATCAAAGTTCAATAACCTCCTGGGGCTCCAGTTGAAGAAAATGTATGAAAGTATGTGCAGTCATTGTGATGTAAGAAGTGATCAATAGATATGTAAGCTGATTTAGAATTTTTCATACTTGAATAGAAGAGGTGATAAATGGTGATAACTCAGCCATAGCTTGATAAGGTCATTATCTAATTAACCCCTACTTGTAATTGTATTGGGGTCAGTATATCTTGTCTTTATTTTCCAAGTTGAAGGTTGTTTATAATGACTTAGCCTTTTGCAATGCACATTTTTGCGGAATTATGTCATATTTAGTCATTCTTTTTGAAGAATTTTCTGTTCTGCCTTTGAGTACATATTCATTTAAGGAATGGCTTGCCAACTCATTCTAAATTGAGGAAGTGAATTACAAACTTCACGCCAAGGTTTCTCATTTTAGGGCTTAGAACAGTTTGAAAACCTGAGAAATGTGATCAAAATGATGACTGGAAAAGTAATGTGGTAGATTGCCTTCTACATTGAAGTAACTAAGTGTGAAAATGCATTCCAATTACTCAAGTAATACACAATGCAGGTGACAGAGATCAATGAAAGAACCTGCTGGTGGCCATTGCTTAGTCTTAACTTGTCACATGCCCTGGAGACAAGTGGTGTCTTTTATGATTTTGGTACTGTAGGGTCCTAGAGCTATGCGGTGTCTCTAACATGCAGTTATGTCTTCAACCACTATTTAATAAAATTCTGTAATTAAAAAATTTATCCTTCATTGCTTAAAAACATCCGGTACTGTCCAGGTTACCATCTGCCTGTACCAGACCTACCGGTTTTCAGAGCTCATGCAGTCATTGCCAAATAGTACTTAGTAATGGAGTACTAGTTTCCTATCAAACTGTCAGACTGGACCAGATCATATCGCACATGACAACTAACATAGTATTATCTCAAAATTGCTATTATTTATATTAATATTACCTCATTAATTTCAAAGCCACAGTATTGTCCTGTCATTTTGAAATGAAATCATATATGAACGACATATAAATATAGCAAAATTTTGGAGTTAAATTGTTAATATAATGCAATTTTGAGACAAAATGCGATATAAAGCAATTTTTGAGATAATAGGTACTATGTAAGTTGTCAAGTACAAATATGTTTTTGCATTTGCTAATATTATCCTTTAGTATTGTTTTCTGACAGGCAAACAGTATTTGTTTGTTTACATTTTTGGGCATTTTCCTTTATTATCTGGTTTTTTTTGCTAATGCAAGTCTCATACATTTCTTGTGAACTATGAATACTGCACTGACTCACCTGTTTGCAGATTTTGTCATTGATTTCAAGGGTGTTTGCTCCCGCTATCTTGTTCTTGTTGTAAGCAAAAATCAAAGAATCGCAAGATTATAAGAACTTATTTAAAAAAGAAAATGAAAACTGTGAAAAGTTTAAATAACTGTTACAATGTTACATTATTATGAGTTCTGTACTCAATAAAATTAACAAAAAAATTATTAAATTGATAAAAACTTAACTTTTGCTCATTGTATTGTGACATCATTTGTTTTCTTTATCACCTTTTTGTGAATCTACAATAAAAAAATCATTTGAGATTACCTCAATATTGAATACAGCTTTCAATAGCAGAAATATTGTATTGTAATTGTTTGACATAAACATTCATAATGCATTATTTGTTTAACAAGGTGACCTTCTTTGATAAGTTTAAGGGCTACTTTGTATTCCTTTGAAGACCAGAGACCAACTCGGAATGAACTTTATTCATCTAAATTAAATTGCTTCTTTATTGAGTTAGTCTGGACTAAAAAATCTCCACTTTTCTTTGTTTGTCTAGGTATTTTAACTAAACAGTAATAGAATTTCAGAGGAGGCTAAGTGCAGGCCGAAATTTATATATAAAAAATATTTTTTTTTAAACTTAGTAAATCATTCCATATTAACAATAATACTAAGGCCAGACAATCACACTTAGGTCTTATACTAGGAAATACTCCGTACTACGAGTATTACAGCAAAGATATGAACTTGTTGCACTAGCCAGAAAATAGATCAGGGTCAATTTAGAAAAGTTCCATTTCCAAATTGGTCCTACTGGAAATTGAGCCCAGGACCTCCTCATCTAGCGCCCACAGTGTTAACCACTAGGCCACTGAGGCCATTGATTAATAAAACAGTTATTTACACTCTAACAGAATAGCAAAAGATATAAATTAAGGGAAAGAGTTGAAGGAGACCTGTCTAAAGGCAGACAGAAATTATAGACGAAATTGTTTGTTTTTTTATTATTTATTTTTATTAACAATTTCAGAAATGGTTGAGGCAATGAAAACCGTTGCTTCCCGCAACGTGTCCGACAACGAACTCACAGTGGAGGAACGTAACCTCCTCTCGGTCGCGTACAAGAACGTCATAGGCGCGCGCCGAGCCTCGTGGAGGATTATCTCCTCCATCGAACAGAAGGAAGAAACAAAAGTAAGTGTCTGCCTTATAGCTTCCCTTCACAGAACAACAACCTTCCTGTGTTACTTTAAGATAATTTTCAGGCTGAATTGGTTTAGGCAATCTGGGACTAATGGATTGCAACTAATAAGGTATGTTTTGAAAAATTATTGTATTTTCTCATTGTGGAGAGTTTTCCGTAATAAATTCGTATATCTGGGATGGAAACGAAACGGATATTGCAAACTATGTTATGTAATCCATTGTCAGGCAGTGACCTCCTCTCGGAAGCCTGACAGGGTATGCCCATGTTGATCATGTTAGAGAAAAATGTGTGCAGGGTTCTATTATTTGAACAGGTTTCCTCGCGATGTTTTGCTTACCGTTAGCGTTCGCGCAGTAGTGTAATTAAATAAGTTTTATTGGCACACTCACGTGCTACTATTTCTATCACTCGTAAATTACCTATGTCGGAACCAAGTCTAAATCTCTATTAAAGAACAAATTGTTTTAATAATTCGACACAAGCCACTTCTGCCGAAATATCCATACGTACATATTTTTGCTAAATTCAATAATCTGTTTACAAAAGTTGTTCAAAGACTATGAATCATAAAAATCAAAAGTAATGCTAATTACATATTGTACATTGAAACTTCCGTTTAACGTCTTATTAATTCAAAAATATCTGCATTTTTCACATTGTCTCGCGTCACTTGCTATTGAGGTCATTAAGTTGGGCATTGGGGTCACTCACTTGCTTAATCTGCATAGTATTGATCCATTAACTCTTTATGTTTATAACTCGCTAAATGTGAAAATTCATTAATGGCACTTGAGTACTCATCTTTATGTATAATTATAATAGAAATTTCGTAAAATTAAAAAAAAAATTGCTTAAGCAAATACACAGAGCATTGGTAGTCTGGTAGGAGAATTGGATTGCTCGAGAAATCCTTAGGCGGCATAGATCTTTCGTTATAATTTAGTTTAAGAAGGAAAGTTATTCACAAGTTGATATATTCACAATCCTTGGAATGTCACGGCCATGTGAAGTCCCCAACTGGAAATGGCCTAAACCTTACCGTAGACCCGTACGAACATGATGATGAACGGTACATCAACTATACTCAATCTTTTTCCTTCAGGCGTGCATGTGGCCATGTTTGCTATGTTTTAAGGGCCGCAATATTTTTGGGCGATGACATATTATATCAATATAAATAAAACTAAAAATATTACGATGTCCGGTGCATGGTCTACTACCGTTTTCCGACATCGTCCGAAACAAATACTGTCAAATAAGTAATTCTCGACCAAATTAGAAGATGGATAATGCAAACGAAGCTTCATACTTAACATTGCCTTTTGATTATATACAACTACTTATATTATACTCTTGGTCGAGTGTTACTAAGTAGTCGTACAAATCGACAGTAATTGTTTCGGACGGACTTCGAACTGAGGACGAGAGTAGACCCCAGGAACGGGCAAGCGCGTGAGCCGTTGATTAAGATTTTTTAAATCTTTGATCTGATTGTTTTTAAAAACACTTTCCTAATAGTGTTTCGGGGTATAAAAGCTGGGCGGGCCGCAGGTTGAGTATGGCTCGTTTACATCATACATAACACATTTTTTGCCCTGGATTATTAGGTCCAACAAATTGATCCACTTGGATGAATTGAGCAGGTATATTGTATATGTTCCATGATTTTTTGAAGTTCGAGTTCAACTGGGGTGACAAATGTCACACAAAATCCAATGAATAACAACTAGCCAATGTATAATTAATCACACAACTAAAATTGTTGCATAGTTTTTACTTACTATTATTTCTTTTCAAATATTGTTACTTTATAATAAAATAATAGTAGTGTATAATAAAATAATAATTGACTAATTTAATATATATAATGTGCCAAACAAACACACCTATAGCCTGGTCTTAAACTAGGGAATTCCCTGTACTATGACCAGAACAACAGAATTCACTCTATTACACAGAAATTCATTTCTCAATCGAAAATGAATCTGGGACCTCCACATACAACGCCCACGGTGCACCATAGGGTCACCGAGATTGTCAAATTATCATAACTAGCTTTATTAATTTTTTTCAGACCAACATATTTTCGTTTTCTTAACTCAAAAGATATATGTAAAGCGATTAGTGGTGAATGCTCGCTATTGAAATTTTTAGTAAGTTTGTTTATCTTACTTAATTATAGAATATCGTATTCGCCGAATGCATAGCCTTATCAAATAGATGCATTGGACTGTTTTGTTCTGCCCCATTCTCAATTAACATCAATGAATTTGATCTGATTATTTGATTTCAAACAAGATTATTTATTGACAGTACTACTATGTGTCTTGCAGAGGCACTCCTTCATTTTTTTCTTTTTCACGTAACAATAACGTTGAAGGCCAATGGCATAAAATATTTGAACAATGAAGCAATTTTTTACCTTGCACTTTACTAATTGCAAAAATAGTAATGCATTCAATGTGTGTCTGATTCTTTGTTTGCAAAATCAGTTAATTGGTGCTACAATTGAAGAAGGTTGAAATTGTAGTATAAAAACCGATTGCTTAAAATCTTCTACATGCATTTTGTTTTTATTAAACACTCAATTCTATTCCCAGTGGATATATTCTATTTCAGCAATAAAAAAATGCAAGTTTAACTGCCTCCTTGGCAAACCAGCATGGTAACCGTTGCGGCTTTGCTGGTCTACCACGTAGAGGTCCCTGGTTTAATTCTCGGGCCGGGAGAAATTTTTGTATAGCCTACATTTATTTGTCTCGTTAGTTTGCGTGTAATTTTTGGTTATTTCATGTGTGTGTCCATGGCACCCACTATACAGGGTTTCCCTAGTGCGGGGCTATAAGTGTGTGCGATAAAAAAAAATGTCCTTTGTTACGTTTTACATGATAAAACTATATATAGAAAGTGTGATACACGTACATACAGTTCACGCCCTTTTGCACCGGGATATATAGTCTTTCTTGCACTTGCTACGATTTGGACACAATCTTACCTAATCAACACGCATCAATGCTTTCGAACACTCTTCGGGTAAGGGTACTGACCTAGTCTTATCTTCAGGACGTCCTCGATTTTACCATGGTAAGTTCGCTTTATTAGCTTGCCCACTTAAATTCGCTTTTATAAGTTTCGTCAATTTTCTTCGATTTATCCTTTCCATGTGTCCGAATCATTTTGTGATAGCCATAAATATAGATAAGCATTCTTGTGATAGGCATTGTTAAGACGGATGTATAATGAAAATTACAAGAAAACTCAGCTAGTTTTTGTTTTTACAAATGAACCATACAAAAATCCATCACGTGTGAAGTAACTAAACAGTAATTTAAAAAGTGAACACATGTGAGGAAGTTAGGCAATTTCATGGAAATAGGTGTGGCCCCCATACGGGTCTGCGCCGTTTAGAGAATCCAGGCCATGTCCCATTGTTTGCCTACATGCTAATCGAGGAGAGAGGCCTTCATGCTTGCTTCTACCTATTTGCGTATATCGATTTTACTGAAAAAAAAAAAAGTTGTTTACCATTTAAGTTTTTCATTAATAGCCTAAATGTTGGTACTAATTCAAATAGGCAACACATTTTCGTTATATTCATTAAAAGAATCTCGTGTATAACGAAATAATCACCCAGGGACACAGGCCTAGTGTTTGGTAATTTATTGTTTGCGTTCGCCCTTTATGTTTACCGTGATGACGAGTTTTAATGTAATAACAAGACTGTTTCAATCAACAAATATACGTCATGAGCCCAAGTCCGTAGGGAGAGAGACAATTACATTATAGTGTAACTAATAACATAATTATATGTAAAATAAAAATATTACACATCGCATTACGCCACAATTACTTCGTGCTCCATACACTTTGACTTACAGTTACATATTTCGGAACGGCCGCTGCCACCGTGCTTAAGCCACCACATCGACCATAGTTCATATAGGTCATTTAAAAAGATACAATTTTACACAGATAAATTAAAATAATACTATAAAAGTAAATAATAATGTCATGTCAACCAATTTCTCGTTAATAAACAGAGATCGGAAGAGGTGTTTATAAATTGGAATAAGCGGCATTTAAACTTACATTTAAACTGTATACACCAATCGCTCTGGCGGGGTCTTAACCAGTTTCTTACCCAAAGCGCGGGTTTTAATCTATGTCTGCTCAAAATCGTGAACGGAAACGGCGAGTACGGAATCGGGTAGAATTCCATACAAGTTACAAACTTGGATGTAAAAATTTTTATGTGACGAAAAAGAGGCAAGTCCACACCAATGGGTATTGGTGTGGGCAATTCTTCTGCTTCTGCACCTTGCAATTCATTGGATTGTCACTACTAAGGATGCATATTACAATACAATTTTTACGAAAATCGATTCAAGTGCATATGATCTAACGATTTTTTAGTGTCGATTTATACAATGCGATTTTCAAGCATATTGATTCAATAGGAAGGTAAATCGAATTGTCAAGATCAGAAAGCAATAATAAACATTTTGTAATAATATCGAGTTACGATAAATATTTAGTTGTAAATAGGTTTTGCCCTCGATTTTGGGCAATAATGGGTTTTAACCCGATTGAATCCCGGGTGCTTGCCACCTACGATGATCAAGATGTTCAATCTATGTATTAGATCCTTTTGCATTTCAATAGGTCATTCTAGTTCCATTGTGACCCCGGGACTAGCAGCCGGTTTAACGATCGCAATAAAACTGCAATCTATTGCTAATGCAATAATGCCCACCTCCACTATTTACCCTTCAGTTGTTTACTATATCGCCCACGGGAAATTGTATTGTTAAAATACTTTAACACTAGGTCTAACTTAGCTTAACAAAACATGGATGTAACGTTTTCCAGGGCGCAGAAGACAAGCTGAATATGATCCGCGCGTATCGCAGTCAGGTGGAAAAAGAGCTGCGCGACATCTGCTCCGACATCCTGTCTGTTCTCGACAAGCATCTCATCCCCAGCAGCCAGACTGGCGAGTCCAAGGTGTTCTACTATAAAATGAAGGTAACATCGTTAACTACAAATTTTGCTATGAATAGTATATAATACCAATTGGTACCCACATGATCGAAAACGTAATAGAGTCAACATCAAAGATGGGAGGGAGGATGAGCTGAAGCTAACTGCAAGCCCATTTTGGAGAAGGGTAGCTCTTGATAGAGCGCACTGGAAAGATCTGGAGGAGGCCCAAGCCAAGAGGCATGCTGAGTGAGTGAAATAATAACAATACACTCAAATCAGGACAGCGTTTGTAGCCCAGTGCGAGTATGATTGCTTCTAAATCGAGAGGTCTACGATTCGAACCCCTATGGCGGCAAGTACTCAAAAGTTCAGTGAAGGAAAAATCGCTGAAGCTTCCAACTCACACTGCGCTAGCGTGGCGAACTATGTACTAAAACCTCTTTTTAGGAGAGACCGTGCCTAACAGTGAAACGTATAACAGGTTTATGATGATGATTTAACTTCATGACTCAGTATGAGGGTTAGTAAATTGTACGAAATGGTAAATGGAATTTGTGCTAAGGTAAAAAAACTAAATAACAACCGCTTTCCATTACTTTCGAGAATGCTTACCAAATATCAGCAAATTTCATTAATTACATATCTATTCTCATATCATCAGACAAGTCTTAACCAATGGCAGCACTGTAAAACCACGCCGGCTTTGGAGATACAAACGGTCCTTCACCCTATTCCATTTGCACTGCGGAACTAATTTTCGGATTGCTGTTTTTGAGTTAATACTAGAATTTCTAAAATCACAGGCACATAAAGACTTGTGATGTCATTTCAATGATAAGTCAATATCAATAGCCCCAAAACGCTAAACATTTTCTGTCATGTGGTTTTCATTAAAGGAATGTAGTTTTGTAAATGTACGCTGTGTGTTTGCAGGGTGATTACCACCGATACCTGGCGGAGTTCGCGACGGGCAACGACCGCAAGGAGGCGGCCGAGAACTCTCTAGTGGCGTACAAGGCAGCCTCGGACATCGCCATGACCGAGCTGCCGCCCACGCACCCCATCCGCCTTGGCCTCGCGCTCAACTTCTCAGTACGTATTACGCCTACCACACGCAATTGGTTCCATTTGGTCTCAACTAAAGCACACTCTCGGATTCTACGTTCGTTTGAAGTTACCTCAACGGCAGGCGCTAATAAGTTCCGGTATTGAGAACACCGCGCGTCTAGTATGACATCAGCGCATATCTTGAGTCGTAAATACGTCACAAATCTAACATGTGGTCTGTTTATCGAGGTATTATCTCGTGACGTCAGCCTAGTGTTAAGAAAGAATGTTGAATGGTATTTATTATTTTACCTTTGTTTTCAGTGTAATCAGCTTTTTGGACTATTTGTTTGCGCTAATTATGGCAGATTAGCGATGCGCGAATTTGAATGTTACTAATACTAATGATTCGAATGGGTAAATCATTCGCCTTAGTCGAATACAAACCTATGTCCATATCAAATCATTCGAATACGATATTTAGTCAGTTACTAGTTTGTCAATCGAATGACAGGATTAATAATTACTAACGAGTCGTATCGAATAAAGCGTTTGTCTTTGAACGATCATCAACAAAATGGATTACATCAAGGTCACGCTGTTCCGCACGTGTTGCAGGTATTCTACTATGAAATCCTGAACAGCCCGGACCGCGCGTGCCGGCTGGCGAAGGCGGCCTTCGACGACGCCATCGCCGAGCTGGACACGCTCTCTGAAGAGTCGTACAAGGACTCCACGCTCATCATGCAGCTGCTGCGCGACAACCTCACGCTCTGGACCTCCGACATGCAGGGCGACGGCGAGTCCGGTGAGGCCCGGTCCAGATCCAGGACGCCCTCCGCGGCGTGGACGCTCTCTAATCGTACTCCGTTTGCGTTCCAGGTGAAGCCGAACAGAAGGAACAAGCACAAGACGTCGAAGATCAGGACGTGTCGTAATAATTTTTTACGTTCTATTTAAATATAATAAAAAAAATAACTATAGTATCATGTAAGACCCAGCCCTCGTCGACAACCGGTTGCCGTTGCCGCCTCACATCGCTGCCGCGCTAAATTCCAGTTCTGGCCGAATCACGTCTTACCGTCTCGTGACAAATTGTCTACGTATCGCCCACGAGTACACTCGACCCTGATATATGTACTTTTGATATATTTGTTTTCGACTATGAAGGAGAATAATGTATAAGAAAAAGTACTTTGGTATTGCATTTTATCTGTATGTTCTAAGATGTATTTTCTTATCGGTACAGTCATGATCTCTTAGCTGCTGTCCCGTTCGCGTTTCGTATACAAGTTGCGGTGTCTCGCGTGTTTCACAGTAGAATGTCACTGACAGGGATTTTTACTATAAAATATGCTAGACTTTCCATCCTTCCGACGGCTACTCTAAGGTGGGAATTGTAAATTTTCTAAGTATTTTATACCGTGTGTAAAATTAATGTATTTACTCTGTTGAGACTTGCGCTCTTAGCGGCATGAATGAATTTAACGGGTCCTCTGTCGCTCGCCTCCCGTTGGACTTGTCTGCACAATCTTTTTATACATGGACGTTCACTCTCTCAGCTAGGTTGTTTTGAGACTGTTGCTAGATTAGAGGCGCGTCGCCGCGGCCCTCCGCCCCTCTGCCCCTCTGCCGAACGTAAAGCTTTGGCCGGAAGTACCTTCAGACCGTGTCACCGGTAGACGGAACGACGCTGCAGGCGGCACACCGTGGCGGCCATTGCTGTCAAATTTAATTTCGCACATATGTATGTAATCAATTCTCTAAGCGGAGTATTCCCAACCGGTCTATCAATTCGTCCGTCGCAATGTACGAGAACGTCACGGAATAGCATGTTCTGTCTCGAAACAAACCAGAACGCAGGCGGTACGCTCTGTCTCCCTGCTGTACGTGCCGAGTGGTCGGCGTACCAGTTATGTTCGGCGGAGGTGCGATGGCGACGCGCATTAGGCAGAGGCGCGACGCCGCGAGTCTTCCGCGTCAGCTCGCTGCATTTGTATACATTTGAATCATTCATTATATTTTAACGGTAACATTACATTGTTAGGGTGGTATATGTAGTTACTTGCAATATTTAGCTAAGTGATAGTCGCGTCACCCTGTTGGTCTTTATGTATCTATCGAGCGTACGTATCGTATTTATTGCAACGGTTTGTGTAAATTGTGACTACTGTGTAGTACTGTCGTATCGTTTGAACAAATGCTCGCGCCCTCGCCGGCCGCACAGTGCCCGCTTCGTTCGTATTGCAACATTTGGAGTATTCACACTGAATCGCTTTAATTACTTACGAGTATTGTGATAGAGATTTTGTATATTTTAATTTATTTTTTTAATTTCGCACGTCTCTCGAAAGTAAAAAAATTGCTGTAGCGCTACATCTTACTGTTTTACAGGACGAACCGTAGTTGTAAAGTTGTGCTAGGTTTAAGGTTATGCACTTGAAAGTATGCAGCGGCCGTCGCTCGAACACATTCCATCTTCCTCCGCGTGTCGCCGACTGCGCGTCGCGGCGCGGCGGCGGGTCGGTCTGGGCCTGGCCGGCCCGTAGCTGGTCCGGGCCCGGTCGGCCCGGCCGACCTGACTGCCCGAGGCCAGGCCCAGACGGGCCGCCCCCGCTTCGGCCGGCCGAGGCGGCGGCCCTGGGCCGCGGCGCGAGCAAGTGCGTGCCCGAGTAAGATATTAGCGTTATTTTATTTGATTTTGCAATATTGCATATATTTTGTTAATTTATCCACAAAAATACTGATGCAATTAGCCTTAGTGTTATGCAATATTGATTTATGTCCTACCAACTACATGGAAATTTATTGTAAATGACAGTGTAAATCTAATAATAAAATTCAAAAGTCCAATATTTTGTTTTATTCTTCGTCCTGTATTAAATAAAATATCCATATATATTATATAAAAATATTGAAAGACAAAATCTAATATCTTATCAGATTAGTGAAATTCTTGATTATGGTGACGCGATGACCAGTTTCGAGTAGTTCTGGCATCTAGTTCCCAAACGAAAAACTGCGACATTCTGCCGGTTCTTTTCTAACATTGTAATGGCAGCAAGACGATACGCGGAGATTCCTGGGAATACAACGAAGCGTGGTTGACGCAGAAATAAGGCACACCTTTTCTGGGTGTTTATAAATCTAATCGTGATGCTTTTTTTCTCGAGATGAAAGAATAATAAATACTAGAATAAAATCATGACTTGGTAAGGCTCATTTTACATTGCGGCGGGACGGAATGGAATGGAAGCGTCTATATATCGCCTCGCTGCGCAAGAAAACGCGCGCTGTCGCACACTGCCTGTCTTCGCGCCACTTCCTACGGATTTAGGCTTCTCCAACGGCAGTTGCGGAATTCTCGAGCATGCGCGAGAATTCTCTCGTATCTAGTTTGTATCTTACACAATTGATTATAAAGTTCATTATGCTATGTACGGACAACGGCACACCAGACTACACATTTTTGTTCGAAAATCGCCTCCAGTGCAACGGAACAAGATACGTCAATGTGTAGCTTGATGTGCTGGCGTCGTATCAATATCGTTACAAAAATTCGCGTCCATTCGGATCCGCCGCAATATAAATTGAGCCTTAGTAATATTTTAAGTGCTGGGTAATGATGACGTTGAGATAAGGCATACAATTACATTCAGTAGGTAGTAAATAGCAACAATTGTAGTATATAACAACAGTATCTGTCTGCGTCACAGACATTTTAATACTGTTTTGATATATGTCTATGCTTTGCGTAGTAGGCATTTCTACTAGTTGTGACGTGCGTGAGCGCGTTGTTGCGCAGATGGTTTTTAATCTATAAAGGTGAAGCGGTGTTTATTTTTTCCACCCTCTGATGATGGAACCAAATTGATCCGAAATGTCAAAAGCAATATAAACCGTGCGGTAGATTTTATCTGTATTATTACCGCAGAGCTCCCTTACTTCTGAAAGCTGCAAAGATTACATCTTGCACCCATGAGGGGTGATAAGAATGGCACAAGTGGAGTTACGTCGAAAACGTTTATTGCTCCATTAGATACAGAAAAATATAATCCACATCCTCTCCAATTCTTGTAACTCTAGCGATTAATATTGTAGTTAAGAGTGGGTTATTTTTTTCTGTATCTAATGGAGCAATAAACATTTGACGTAACTCCATGGCCTACATTCTTCCGACTGCGCGGCCATCGTCAGTCGCGCTCAACACGCGCGTTTCACGCGGTCTATCCTGCGCTATTAGCCTTTACACGGACGCTCTATCTGTTATAACAAAAACGAACACGAGCAATCGCACGAGAAAGAACGTTAACAGGTACGTGCTGTCTTTCCCGCTGGCTATCCTATACGCTCCGGATCACGCGCCATAGAGTGACTGTGTAAGGAGGGCTAATGTCGTGTCTGATATTTTGTTTATTCATTATTTTTATGATAAGTGTGAACAGGCGGCAAACTGTCAATAAAGCTCCGAATGAGGTGGCTCCGCTGATATGTCTGGCCTGTAGTGTTGTACGGTAGCGAGGCTTGGGACTCTAAAAGCCACCCAGAGGCGTCTTGAGGCCTTCGAGATGTTGTGCAACCGTAGAATGCTTCGCATTAGCTGGACCCAGAAAGTTCTCAGTAAGAGAACTTGCAGACCGTCAAGAAAAGGAAAGTTGCGTATCTTGGACACGTTCTACGGCATGAAAAGTACCGACTTCTCCAACTGAGAATGATGGGCAAGATCGAGGGTAAAAGACGAACTGGAAGAAGCCGTGGTTGCGCAACATCCGGGAATAGTTGGTACATTCCCGGATGTTGCCAGCGTAGAACATCTGTTTCGCTTGACTCAAGACAGGGAAGAGTTCTCCAAGCTGACGGCCAGCCTCCAGTAGTGGAGAGGCACTATGATGATGACGAGTCTATGATACTTTTGTCTACCTTTTTTTTATTATATGAAAATATAACTCATTAACAGAGCGAGTTTGACTGACTCACGTAAGTAATGCACACTATTACTATTTGGCGGCAAAAACAGTTAAGGTGGCAAAATTTTCCTGGATGAAACTTTTGCACATGGACCTGTGCTGTGCTACTTAAAAAAAAAACCACCGTACCGCTAGTCGTTAGCTTAGTGACACGATGGGTCCCGCGGGTAAAATATTAAAGACATCCAGATTATTTGGGCACATTATCAGTATAGTACTAAGATGTAACGCAAATAGATTCAATATTCATGCAGGAAGTAAATAAAAGCAAATGTTACATACAAAAAGAAATTTTATTGCACAGGGATATATTAAAATACTTTACACGGATAACAGTGGCATACATTATACTAAAATATGGCATGTATAGACTGTTCTGTACATATAGCCAAATTAAAACAATGAAAAAGCATTTGCCAACAACTTACAGCCATGTTGAAATAATTTTATACATTTTTCGCTTTGGTATTGGAATAGAATAGAATAATAGGAGAAAACTTTGGGTGTTGACTGAAAATTGGACAATTTGATAATGCCTCCAAACAGTTCAACTGGGAAGTATAATGGGGAAACTTCCCTTGGGGGAAACCATTTGCGAGCTCTAGATCTAATATCCCACAGAATAAACGGTTAATTACCTCTTAACGAAAAAAGGCACAACTATGCGTACTTTATACAGCAGTTTTGCCTTGTTTCGTTCCGAGGGCAGCATACTTAAAAAAGGATATAGTTTTGTATGCCCTTTTTAACCGACTTTAAAAAGGAGAAGTTCTCAATTTGAATGTATTTTTTGTATTTGTGAACCAATTTCGATGATTCTTTTTTTGTCAGAAACGGTTATCTCAGTAGTCCCATTTTAATTTAAAAAAAAAAAATTCCATCTCTAAGGCAAATTCGGGGGTGAAACAGGTTTATTGATTTTCACCGTTTTCCGTTAACCGACTTCAATAAAACTTGGCAAATAGTTTCACAAATTTTTGAGGTCGACTGTTTTAAAATATAATTTTAGTACAAACCAATGACATTACAAATTGGTTCAGACTAGTTTTCATAAATTGCCGTATTTTAGGCGACATTTTCACTTGTCCAGTTTCCAGTACCCATAATTCAAATCAATGGCACAAAACATGCTGAAGTGACATCACATAAACATACATGCCTTCATATTATACAATTTACACATTGTCCCTGCTGTCTCGCCTTGTGGTAGCCATAGCCGCTATACACTGGCAAAACTTTGGTGTTTCCATAAATAATAAAGCCAAATTCCGTAAATACAAAGTTTGTGTCGTTTGTGATATCCAGGCATTGCTGAGCCGCTTTAGGTTAGTGTAATTTGATCAATTAAAGCCGGATAAACAAAAAGACACACCCGTGACGTCACGCCCAACGATACACCTGTGTACTTACCGACCTTGGAGTAAGGTAATGAATTTAATTAAATATTGACTATGGCAGTGTGATTTTATTTTGCAATTATTATGAGCACGTTCTCTTATATAATTTCTGAGCACACACGACAGTAGTATTCTAAAAAATATAGTTTCACTTGGGTGCCAATAGCAGCACGATTACATTTTTACCATGCCGTACGCATCTCGACTTGCGTAAATGAAAACATAGCTTTATTGAATAATGCTCTGGTAATATCATGAAGAAAATGAAACCAAGGCGAGTGCAAAGTGTGGCCCTCTATAGGCCAATTACGGAAAACGCACACAAACTGTTCCCTTATTCGAATACATCGGTGTCCAAAAGAAGGAAATTGAATCTGGAGTATGGCTATTGATTATATAATATCATTAACATAATTTAAATAACCTATATTACAGTATTATATGTCTAATACTTATATAGCATCTCACTAGAACCAAGCATAACATTGTGCCCGAAGCTTCGAAAAACACTTTCATCAACTACATTTGATTTTCAACATGGTACATTATAATGTTCTAAATACAGCGTGGAGACACGTGCCTAGCAGTGGGACGTATTGCCTGATGCCTTATAGCTAAAAGACCCGTGCTCAACACACAAACCGCATTTTTGGTGCGTGTCTGTAAAATTAGAGCACCACATTAAAAATCGATTTAAAAAGTATACATTCATAATTTAAAACAAATTATTATAATAAATTAAAATTATTTAACTTAATTATTCAATAATATTATTAATAATAATAAGATAGAAATTTTCTTTAATAATATTAAGGCCGAGTCGCAGCCTAGCAGCCTATTAAGAACGTGCAATTAATGCTTTATTTTGTATCATCCAGTGTTACAATATCAATGAACAATATTAAAGGCACAGTGTTGCCATTTCGTATCACCATCCTAAAACGACGATATTTCGTAAAGATAAATAAATTATTTGTTCAAAAGCAACCATTATTATTGGTAAAAATGTCACGAATATTCCATTCCCTAAAATATAGAGGCTATCACCAATTCTTCATTTATTAGTTGATGTACAAGGTTTATCTCACATTGAGCCTACTTTGGTGAATCAAGAAACTGAATTTAAACCAAATCTCGTCATTAAAAGTAACACTGAACGCATCAAAACTATCGAATATGTTACAAATCTAAATGTATAGTTATATATAAAATAACGTAATGAGTAAATATAGCACATCACATTAAACTACCTCACATCAGTCTCGCGTTTTATATTACATTGATTGATTATCTATAACCCCAACGCTATTTTATCATTAGAAATGTACAATACAGTTAATTTTGTTTCAATTGTATACAAATCGCCTAACAGTCTACCTGGTGGCAAGTGATAACCCGCCATGTGTATGCCGAAAATGTGTATATAACACGGTATAACTTATTATATACAAATAATCACTGAGTAGAATTTAAAACATCATTATTTATTTACTTCCATGATGACTTTCTACAATATTGTTTTTTTTTAAACTAGACCGACTCGTTCGATTCATTATTAATATTATTTTATTATATGGTTTTGTGACTGATTAGGCTGCATAAGAATGGTGTGCAAACTGTTGCACGAGCTTACATGAAAAAATATGCCTCAAGGCAGGTCTCTGATCCAAATCGCACGTCTGTAACGTCTTTGTAATTATCGCAAACAAACAATTAATCCAATGTTTTGTTAGAAAACAGGAAACTGGTTTTTGAACAGTTATAATAATAAAGAGCCAAGTGCGAATGCGGCCCTCGTATTCACATATTTTGAATATGACCAAATATCGTACATTTCCAATAGATCGTTCCACCGCGTCCCCGATCAAAAGCCGCCAAAGCGCGACGCGCATCGAACGTACTCCAACAGTCCAAGTTTGAATAAAAGGAATGCATAACGACAACAAATAAAGTTTTAACGAAAACATCACCGGCGAGGAACGGCGAGGACCGGCTAGGCCAGCACGCACACCTTGCGCAGGTCGGCGTCGTCGGCGTCGGCGTCCAGGTCGGCGCGCACGGGCTGGCGGCCGGCCACGTCCGGCAGGTAGCGCTCCTCGTCCAGTCCCTTCCGCTCGTAGAACAGCAGGTAGGCGGCCTTGGCGTCGGCCGGCGCCTGCTCGCGGCACATGGAGTCGTTGTAGCACAGCCACGCGCCCGAGGGGTTGCGCGCGTACGCCACGTAGTGCCCGCCGCTCATCTGCCCGCTGTGCGACTGCAACAGAATAGAGTCTGTTGCAATCGACACCGTTGCCGTTATTTATATTTTAAAGAAGCTTAATAATCTTCTTTGTTCACTTATCTAATTATTACTTGTAATAAACGCCCCGTTATGTCGTCTATAAAACACCAATAACCTTTCCAATCGAAGCTTGCATAGCCATAGCGTAGCACGAAAAGTAGTTTAACAAAAAAAAAAGGTTTTAGTAATATTTTCGTTATATATCACACATTTAAACCGCTAAAAAATTATAAATTATTATTAAACCTTTCTCATTTTTCACGATTGATAAAAAAATATTTTACAATTCATAACTTGTTTACATTCTTAACCTCGAATTCCATCATAGAGCATAGAAATGAAAACCATTAAATACAGTCAACAACACATCAAACTATATATAACATTTTTATTGAAATATCGCCTCCAGAGCATCGGAACAAAATCCATCAATGTTTAGCTTGATATGCTGCCGTCCGTACATGCCACCACAGATATTCGAACCACTCAACTCTCAATTGAGAAGAAACCCACTCTGTCCTCGCAGAGTCGTTTCAGCTCCACTTACCACAACAGCGTACAATCTGTACTTCAGATCGAAGGGATCCTGGTCCTTCTTGAGGTGGTGCTGATGGTAATCAATGAGGTTGTCGTCGCAGACAGGCGTAGTGACGAGACTGGTGGACTCGAGTCTCTCCCTCGTTCGCGTCTCTATTTCCCGCGGCTTCCGCTCCACGCGAGGCTTGTTCTTCTCCTTGGATGGGTACACCGTCTCGTCGTCAGTGTCGCTTTCTGATATTGGTTCTGAAGAAACACCGATAGTAAGTTGTTTAAGTTAACAAGCTCGAACATAGTTTAATTCTTCTTGTGTTCTTCAAGCGAGAATATTAACATAGTTATACAGGATGACTGCGGGATTGTGTAACAACACGATATCAAATAATCATTTATTCCATAGGTAAACTAAATTCACACTTGAAAACTCATTTTTTAAGCTGTAACACGTAGAAAAACCTTTTCAACACGGTGGGACTTGACCCGCCACCTTACTGCACCGTAGTATTGCTCTTACCAACTGAGCTACGGGTGAAGTTATCGAGTTGTCGAAATTTTCCTATGTGTTTTTATTAAATATGTTTGTACGAACTGTTAGTCAGAGATTTTAGAACCTTCTGAGACAGAATCATGAAAGGAGCAAAGTCAAAGTCAAAGATTATTTATTCCATAGGTAAAATAAATTTACACTTGAAAACGTCACATTTAAGCTACTGCTCGTTCGCTAAGCTGACTTCCCTGAGAAGAACGAGCTAGAAACTCTAGGGTTTGCTCTTTTCAAATAAACTTAAATGCCACTTTTCATAAAATTCGTGTAGAAAAATACTTTTAACTTAACTTAGGAAATGATAATTTTAATATACGCTCCGGAATCTTATTGTAAAAACGTATACAGTTCGCCGTAAAAGAATTTACCTTAGTTAAACGAAATCACATAGTATAACATGAGTTTGGATTTACTTCTAAGGTTAATATTACGGATATTTTCTTTCTTTAGGAACACAACGCAACAGATTTGAAATCGATAAGCTAGTAACTTTTTCATGCAAAAAATTCCTATGGTTTAGGATCATAGGTAGTTAGTACCTGAAGTTTTATCAAGTTGCTTTATTTGATATCATGGTTTTGTCGTAACTGTGACTATTCGTTTAATCAGTTTGTTTTTATACGTATTTTAAAATTAATTGTAAGTCGACCATAATGTCAGTATTAATTTGGGATTCATAACAATTTATTAATAAAATATTTTACTGAAATAATTGAAAAAAGAAACTATAATAATGAAATTGCAATCCAATGATTGACTCAAAACTGAGTTACAAAACAATGAGTCACTCTGTATAATTCACGGGCCTTACTTCTTTTACTTATGCAAGAAATGTACTTAATTGACAACTTTAAGGGTGCTCTCTCTAACGTTGCGACGGGACTCAATTTTAATTCTGATTGTGGCGAAACGTGCTTTTACTGATAGACACATTACATAAAAGGTAAAATAACGCTTTATTTGTCAATCTCGCACACATTGCGCAGTGAGATATTCCATATTGTAACAATAAGTTGCGTCTGCGATACTGACTTGTAAAATATTTTTTTTTTATTTCGAAGTTCAGATTTAGTTTTTTAATAATAATATAGACGCTTGGCCACAATCTGATCACGACGATGTGACCGATGGTGATAAGCGTTTATCTAAAAAAATGCTTATTCACTCTAGCCTTAAATAGCCTTAAATTGTAGTTTTCGTTATCTTTTGTTTATGAGCAGTTACTCAAGGTGGCTTTTAGAAGCGGTCTACAGCTATTCAGTAGCGACGTAGTAGCGATGGAGTCATTAACCGTCTATATTCACACACGCACGCGACTCACGCAGCGACATAATCTCGATAGAAACACGATGTAAATGCGATCCAAACGCGATGCAAACGCAATGCAAGTTTTTAATTAATTTATTTATTTCATTTTTAAATTTACAATTAACAAAACGCAACAATGTGCACTAACCGGTACAGATTTTATCGCATATAATGATTCAACATAAGTGACTGCATCCCCAAGCAAGTGTTTCCGTCGATGCAATCGCCTATAAATCGCAAGTGTATCGATGCAATCAAACTCGTGTTTACAGGCACGGAGTGAAGACACTCGTACGAGACACTGCACTGAAAGTAATGCGGCGTACACCTGAAAATGACACCCGGACCCCCCGGGGGTGGTCATCGAGTCATTTTACCTGACACGATAGGGCACGCCGGGAAAATCACCTATTTATTATAACTACAAAGTTTAAAATTACTAAAGAATATTATTATTGTACCCGATACATCTTTCAGATTTTCACAAGTTATATAAAAAGGATAAAAGTAAACAAGTCCACATTATCTCACACCCAATAACGGATTTACATAGCTTTATTATATATTATATTTTCAAGCAACCCACAGGAATACTAGAAAACATTTTACATAGCTTACCCGGCATGGGTCCGTCGACGAACATCGAGGATCTTCTTCTCAAGTTCTTAAGCTCGAGATGCCTGAGGATGGTCTCCTGCGGCACCGACGCCAAGTACGCCGTCGGGTCGAAATCTTGGAAAGGGAAGTTGACCACTTTCTGGGACTTTATCCATTTGTTGTTTACGTATTGAAAACGTTTTAGGTGAATTATCTGAAAGTTTCATACAGATTGTTAATTGATGTTATAGCGCTATCTATCAGATACCAACATAAACTATGTCTCTATTGCGTATTTATACTCTTGAGATGAAATCGACGTCTCACAATGTAAACAAACAACTGTTACTGTCAACGTGACACCTCATAGATCATAAACCTTTTCTCTGGTTCGTTTATTAATAATTTCTTTTCTTCATACGAGTATTACGAGTAATAATTATAATGGAAAATACCCTTTTCGGTTAAACAACTTAAACCATAGTAAAATATTTTTAGTTGAGAAACGATGATGTGAGGAAATGAGAAGAGTCACGACGCAAAAAAAAACTTAGTTTTTTTGATTAAGAACATAAACTGTATGTATAGTTTTATTTTCGATTTTACTCAGGCGACATAGGGTTAAATAATGTATTTTCATGTATAAACCAAAAGCGTATCAATTTTATTCGCTATTGTTGTAAAATTCAATTTAATTATTAAATAAAAAATATTATTTTTAATACAATATAAAAGTAATAGTATTACAGCAATAAATTATTGTCAATAACACTTGTACATAAAAGTATTTGTGTTTGTATACAAATAAAATACCGAGTAAACAAAAAGGGTAGCCAAAGGTTGTGCATTCCCTAAATATTGTCAATAGAATAAAAAATCTTTGCACTGGAGTAAATTTTTTGAGGTTATTTTATTAAATAGGGATTATTTTAAATAAAAATTATAATTTGATAATAATATTTTGTTTGTCATACACACAATTTAAGAACAATATAAAACATACATTTTTAGACCTTTTCAGTTTTCCACTATTCTTAAAATCTTTTTTTTTCTTCGTTTACATTTTTACTTCGATTTCATTTCAGAGTATAGTGCCTACCCTAAATTGAGCAAGCAAGTTGTGAACAAAATTAGTATTATTTGTTTAGTATTTTTTTACAATAACTAAGTGACGGGGCGAACAAGTCGTGCGCCTGATAGTAAGCGACACTCCTGCGCATAATAGTAGTAGTACCACTCAGAGATTTAAATCACAAAGAACTGAGGGGCGCTGTCACTGCGCCCGACAATCTTGTCTTTTCTCTCTAAAAGAGAGATAGAGAGAAAAAGTGGCAGTACTTCCCTGGACGAACTCTTTCACAAGGAAGCTCTACTGCTACTAGAAGTATGAAATATCATACTAAAGTGAGGGGAGAAACAAGTCTTGCGCTTGGCGGTAAACAACACGCCTATCCATTACAATTGCAGTGCCTCGCAGTATAAATAATAATAATAACGCACACACTCAACATACGCACTAGGGAAACCCTGTGTCGCGGGTGCCATAGACACACACACAGACAACCACAAATTACACCCAAACTCACGAGAGAAATAAATGTACGCCATACAAATATTTCACCCGGCCCGGGAATCGAACCTGGGACCTCCATAAACCATTTATTTCAGGCCATAGCCCATAAGATAATGGTGTTAGTTACAAAAGAAAACCTTAAAACTATATTGGTATGATTGCAATGAATTTTGAAATATTGATACAAAATTAAAATATTAAATTTTGGAAAATGCACAATTATTACTTAATTTGACCAGTTGTAACGTTTACCCAAAACTTTAAAATTGTACAGTCAAAACTATGGGCAGTCAAAACGATGTTATTGTACTGTACTCTTATTGAGTTGTATGTACGCGGTGTATATCTAACCCATAGACCACTCGAGTACATTCACTGACAAAAAGCTTTAACAAGCGTAACTTTCACATCTTTTGTACAACGAGTGAATCTATGGGCCAGCATGTTTCCTCTAACAGCCAGCGCTCTGCGCTCCCTTTCAATATCTAGGTCATCTTTCATGCTGTCAGTAATGACGTGACCAAGGTTTTTAAACCTATCAACTCTATTAAGAGGCGTGCCACCAAGCATTACCAATATTTTTTTACTTTTTATTATTTACCTGCCTTTATAACAAGCAGTTCACTTTTATTTTGAGTTGTACTTCAGCCCTTGCTTGGCTGCATACCTCTCACACAATTTGAGTAGTTTCCTAAGCGCATTAATAAACGGCCCCAGCAGCACCATGTCGCCAGTATAATTGATATTATTGACGCACATATTGTCAATGAAGCATCCAACATGCATGCTGCCGAGTTCATCCAGAAGCGGATTTATATAAAGGTTGAAAAGCAATGGTGACGTAAGCCCCCCCTGCCTCACACCGCAATCGAGTCAGTAATCATCGGACACCTTGCCTGCCCATCTCACCTGATTTACTTGGTTACTTTACCAATATTTAAGTAAATGTATGCATTCCGCCGGCACATCCGTGGGTCCTAGTTTGTCCCGTAATAGGTCGTAGTTCACAAGGTCAAACGCCTTTGATAGATCCAGGAAACACGCATACACCGGCGTTTTCCTTTCAGTGTAATACTGAATAGTTCTCTTAAGGCACCAGATGGCATTTTCAGTAATGTAAAATGAAAATGGAGGTGTTTTTTTTTTAAATTAAATTGGAACAGAATTTTCCACCTCTGTGGGACAGCTGGTTGAAAATAACCGCTTCCGCCTTGTGAGACGCATTGCTGTAAAGCATACTATAGTCGTGCCGTCACTGTATTTGTGAGTTTGTTGTACTGACATCGAAGCTAATTGGAATAAACTTCGCTTTTTCATACAATTTCGGCAGTCAAGAGCACATAAAGCATGACACGTCGGAGAGTTATTATAGCAAGCGGCATAGAGTTTCATGGTCATGCTTAACGTGCCCTTAACCAATTACTAACCAATATAGGTGGGAGCCTCCATATCTGCAATTTCTTTGTAGCCGGCTGAGCACTCCGACACGCCGAACAGTGGTATCGTTCTTCTAACTTCTCCTCCGAGGTGAATGCTTTGAGACAGGACGCCAGGTCGATAGGTCGTGCCGCTTCTGCCAGGCATTCGCTCACTGAGGAGTGCTCTATCCACGCCTGGATCAAATTTGGAGAGATATTTCTATTAACGTGAGTTTATTAATACGGGCCTAGCTGTCGAGCTGTATAGTCTGAATTTTTTAAAGACGGAGTAAAATGATAGTTCATTGCGCTCGTGTAGTAATTTTTATTTATATTCGGCCAACTGCTGGGCACAGGTTCATTTGAATCGTCACTTTTTGTAAATTTATACATGCACTGCATTTAGAATAATGTCTATTAAAAATACAAAAAATATAAAGAGAAAATATATTTTAAAGTTTTATTTTAATTCAATTCATTCGCCTGTCCTTAATAAAACATATATAAAAAAAAATATTTTCGACACAAGTGGACCTTCCTGTCAAAATAGCAATAACGCAATTAGTAATCAATGGAACGTCGTAACATTCAAAACTCAAACAATTTTGGCAAAATTTTACCTTCTTTTACAATCTATCGATAAAACTGTTGACAACAACTACATGACTATTTAAAATTTTATGAAAATTGGCAACCCTGCAAATATCATTTTACGCCGTCTTTAATGAAGACACGCTATAGTGAAAGCAAATTTTCATTAACATACAAAAAGGTCGACAAGAAATTGGCTTTACCTTTTCCCTAGTGGACTGGTACCGCAGATGCAGCGCCGTGGGGTCCCAGTCGATGGCCAGCATGACGGAGGAGCGCGACCTTCGGTATACCTGCCGCAGCACGCTGAAGTCCAACTGACGCAACTCATTGGACTCCGAGCCCTCAAACAACATCACACGTAAGGATAAAAAATACATACCTTTGAATTGTCACTAGGGTAGGCAGATACTCAAACGTCTGTCTCTACACAATTCTGTCAAACCTCTCTCGCTTCACTTACATTTGTCAATCTTTTAACAAAAACTCTCCTATTCTTCTGATGTGTTTTAAATTGTTTTATAGATTTGTTTTAATTTTTTAAAGTAAGTGCCTTTATAGGGTATTTATAATAAGAACATATGGTGTAAGAAATTGATTGAACTGAAAATGGTATTACTGGACACATCAAAGATTTTCTTAATTGAACTGTTTTTTGAACGCTTATTTTGTAACCATAGAGTAGATTATTTTACAATTAAATTTTAATAAAATTTTATTCAAATGTTTGTATTTTTAAAAAGTTTTGTTATTATATTTTTGGAAGTCGTTTTGGTTAGCTTATAATAATTCGTAGTGTATTTAGGTACCCGAAATTCTTTTTTTTAAATTAATAGTCAAAAATTGTCCTTCGAAAATGCCCTAAGGAGAATGTTGTCGATAATACTATGAAGAGTACGTGATTTGTAGTTCTTGTATTGTTAAAATTGGTTGGAATTTATCGATTGTATTAGAAGTTTGTGCGCGTAGTTATCTGGCATCGCGGCGTGTGGTTTTCGGTTTAAGCATATTCTAACAAGTAGGTTTTACGAATAAAATAAGTGTGTCAATTGCGTCACCAGTTTTATTGCGATTTGCAACTTCTATAAGTCTATGCACACGGCGTATTTGATACGCG